CTTCCTGCCCTTTGCTCTTGGCCTGGCAAGCTGGGCGTGGTCACTGCCTGAGGAGGCGGCAGTTGGGGGCATCCTCTGGGGTAGACCCTGCACACACACCGGCCCTGGGTGTGTGAAACAGCCGCAGAGGAACAGTAGCGTGGGAGCCTGCAGCAGTGATGGGGTAAACATTCTGAAGTGTCGGAGCTGTGGGGACAAGGCAAGCATGGGAACTTTGGAGGTTATTGCCTTTCGAAGGTGACCAAAATTTCCCTGGTGGTCCAGTGGCTAAGAGCCCACGCTCCCAATGCAGGGGGCCTGGGTTTGATCCCTGGTCAGGAAATGAGATTCCACACGCCGCAACTGAGAGTTTGCATGCCGCAACTAAAACAGAAGTTCCTTTTAAAAAAAAAAGAAATCTTGTTCAAATGGAATAATCCTGTTGTCCTAGCTTTAAATTTATTTGTTCCTACCTGCCGCCGCCCCCCCCAACCTTTTTGCTCCTGAGCAAAACTCTCCAATCAGTCCTGTGCATCTTGATCAGAATCAGAAGCCCTCCTTGACAGGAAGAGACACAGGAGAAAATTGTAAGGAACCGTAACTTACTTGTATTTTCTGGATATACACGGAGTTTTTGATGGCTAAAGACAAACAGTGCATAGGGAAAACCTTAATAGATTTGAACACTCAAAAATTCAAACTTCTGTAACATTTTGAAAAAAAAAATCATTAATAAGTAGAAAACAGCAAAACAGTATATGCCACATATATTATAACAATGTTTCTAACCTATAAAGTGAGAAAACACCAAGGCTCTATGTGGGTACAGACACTTCACCAAAGAGGAAATAAAACTGTGTAAATTGAAAAACAAATGTAACTTCCTTACTGTGCAAAGATACGCAGATTAAAGGTGCCATGTTGTATGTGTGCAATCCATCAGGTTTAAAAGCTGTGGCCGCCTAGAGCTGGTGACACTCAGGGCAGTTTCATCTGCAGACCAGGGTGTAGGGGACACGCCCTCTGGGGTGTGAGCCAGAAATGCCACTTGGAGGAGATTTTCCTGAGGAAATTATCCGAAATACCAAGGCTCGTGAATAATGACATTCCCCGCGGCATTATTTATAATAGAAGAATTGTTATTTCTGAAACGGTGTCTTGAGGGATGGTTGCATAATTACCAAGATGGTCTTCACCAATATACTGTGAATCCAGTGTCCACCCTGAGCCAGACACTCGGTCACAGCCACACTCCGGGCAAAGGCGGGCAGAGGGCTCCCTCCCGGCTCCTGGCGGCTCCTGGGGCATCAGGGGACCTGACAGTAGGGCTGTGTTCATAATACGAAGCTGGATGAAAAAGGACCCAAAGTCACTCTACTGATCTTAAGTGGAAAGAGTATAAAATAGTTGCAAAATGCAGCACATGGAGGACGGGGTGGCTGGGGCGGACAGATGAGCAGCGAGGCCAGGAGGCAGTGCAGGCCACGGCAGCTAGTGTGTGGAGCCCCCGAGAGGCCGTCCACGCAGGCACAGGGGCTGCACACTCCAACAGGGCCCCTTGCTGCTGGGGGGCTCCCCTGCCCGCTGGGGAAGGTGAAGCCACAGTGCCCTGCTGTTCTGCCAGCCGGCTGGCCAGCAGTACCCACTCTGACGGGAGTGACGTGGATGAGCTGCGAGGGTTGCGGGAGCTGGGAGGCCGTCTCGGACCCGGAGGGCTCAGGAAGCACCGCAGAGGGTCCGGCTCGGTGGCTGCCTCCCTCCAGCCTTGCAGCCTCCACCGTGGGGGACTTCCTTCTCATCAGCGGCGGGACGGGGCAGGGAGAGCCCCAATCCCTCGTCTGAACTGTGTTTGCCAGCTGTTTGTCACGGGCACCCTGGGATGGGCACAGCGGCCACCCCCTACACGGGGCGCCGTGGGCCCGGGGCAGGCCTGGCGCTGCTGGGGAACTGCCTCCGGAACACCAGTTGTGCCAGGAAAGGGCCCAGCAGTGCTCAGTGCCCCGAGGAAAAGTCCTTAACTATTTCAAAGCCAAAAGAGAGGAGCGGTCTTATTTCTCACTCCCCCCGCCCCCACCGCTCCTGAAACGAAATCCCTTAACTGGGCCTCCCACAGCCCAGTCCTCTGAAATTTGGAGCCTAAATTTAGATCATCCCTGGAAGGTCACCGGGTTGCCACGGTGCAGGGTCAGCCGGCAGCTGCTTGAGATAAACTGACTTTTGCCGACTCAGGCCTCCCCCACACAGCTAACAAGGCCCGCCGCGCTTCCCCTGGGAAGGCAGAACAATAGCAACGGAGGAGCAGGTGGCCTTGGCTGGCGGGCTGGCTTGGGAGCCCCCTTGCCAGAAATCAGGGCTCCACAGCCCTCCTGGCCTGGCGCCCCTCGAACCTTGGCCTGCAGGTCTGGGCCTGCCACGTCCATCACCCCGAGGCCGCCGGCCCCTGATCCTGCCCTTTCCTGCCTCTGGGCTCCTGTGCGGGGCTTCGTCCTGGGTTTGGGCTGAAGCATCATGTCCTCAGAGAGGCCTACATCATCACTTGGTGTCACCCTCCCAGCCAAGGGCGTACCTGAAAGGCCAGCCCCTGGTCGAGGGCAGGTGTTCTCCTGGGGACAATGCTCGAGGACAGGAGGTGTTCAGAAGGCTCCAGAGTGGAAGGGGCTGGCAGGTCCTCACACGCCCATGGGCCGGGCTGGGCCCACGACCAACAGTGGTGTCAGGGTGGAAATCAGGGTGTGAAAGCCGGGCACAGAGGGCCTTCCTCAGTCCCCGGGACACTGTGAGGCCGTCCCCAAGGAGATATGGCCTCCCCGGGGCTCCCCAGGGCACCAGACCAGATGGGCTCAGAGTGGCAGAGAAGAAGGCGGGAGGGCGGGTGAAGGGGAGAGCCTGTGCTGGCCACGGCCCCGCCCAAGCAGATGGCCCCCGTGCTGGGGTCAGCCGGCCCGCAGACAGGCAGCTGCAGCTTGGGGGCGGAGAGGCGTCTGGGAGGAAGTCCCTTGGCAATACACCTTAGTAGGTGCATGTCCTTAGTAGGGACAAAGCAGTGCAGGCACAAGAGGCTGTGGGTGTTGACAGGCCAGTCTGCGGGCCGAGAGGGGCCAGGTCTGGATGGCAGGTGCAGCTGGCTCACGTCCCCTGGCTGCTCCTGGAGTTGGCACTCTGTCCGCAGGCAGGGCGAGCCGCAGCGGGTTCCAAACAGAGCCTGACCCTGGAGGGGGGCCTAGGTGACCTCAGGGGGCCACAGCAGTGGACCCTGGGGGACAGCAGGGTGGAGCGTGGTGGGGCAACTCTGGGCAAGGTCCCTGGATTTGGGGGGACTCGGCAAGGTCCCTGGATTTGGGCCGGGTGGAAGCAAGACTGGAAGTGGGTGGGTGGTAGGGCTGAGCCCCCCGGAATGGACAGGGGGAGGGGACATCTAGGAGGGTCTGCAGCCGGAGGGAAGAAAGGAATGAGGGGTGTCTGGGAGGCAGTGGTCCTTGGGGCTCCATCCCTGCAGGGGGAGGGGGCTGGGGTGAAGGAAGGGGTAACATTGTCCTCCAGTCCCACCGGGCCCAGCAGACTTGCCTCAGGCGCCTCCCCATGTGGGACCACAGGTGTCCTCAGCCACCTGAGAAGAGCCAACAGTCAAGGACCGGGACCAGGGAACGAGTTGAGTGAGAGTAGCCACACTCCAGGGTGGACTTTGCTCCAGACAGGGGGGCAGATGGAGGGGGGCTGCCAGAAAGGGACCCGGGTCGGCCTGAGCCTCAGGGGGCCCAGTGTGCATCCCAGCGGGCCTTTGGAGAGCCGGCTGGGCCATTGTGCAGAAGAATGCCCGGAAATCCCCCGCCTCCCTCCTCCAGCAAGGATGGGGGCTCTTCCTCCTGGTCAGGAAGCTCCATGTTGGCTTCCGGAGGGGGCCTGGGGGCCGGGGTGCCAGGGCCGCTGACACGGGGAAGGGCAGAGCCCTGCCCAGCTGTTACCCAGCGCCTGGTCTGAGGCTGAGGGGGGCGGGCAGCTGAGCCCTGAGCCAGGGCGGCTCCTGGAGGACCACCTGTGTGTGGGTCACTGCGGAGCCCCGGGGCCTTCTTGAGCTGAGCCTCAGAGGATCGGGGTGGGCTTCTCCGAAGAGGAAGCCCTTGCGTCAGGGGCAGAGTGGGGGGTCTCCGGGGCCTTGGGAAGGCCCCATTGTCTAGTGCTGGAGCCTCAGGCCCCAGGGAGGCAGTACTGCTGGGCAGAAACTTGGACAAACCTGGAACCCTGACCCACGCAGGCCCCCCTGGCTTCTCAGGCTGTGGGGGAGACAGTGTCGACCCCTGGAGAGTCATCGCGTTCAGGGTGCGGAGAAGAGGCCTGGGTTGCGCTTGGACCCCAGGGCGAGCTTCCTGGAGGATCAAATGCGCCATGCATGGCTAACTCGGGATCAGGGCCGAGGAGGCCCCCAACCCAGGCCCTGGCGCAGTGGCGATGGCGGGGGCGCCGGCCGACCGGGGCCAGGGAAACCGGGGCTGGCCCCGGAGACAGGGAGACAGGGACTGACCGGCTCGTTTTGGCATGTGTCGGGCAAAGTCGGTGCAGATTCAGGGTCGTGCAGTTCCTGAAACGGCGAGGTGGGGCGCACAGGGGTCGCGGAGCGTGCGCGGCCACCCCAGGCCACCCCTAATGGGCTCGGCCGAGACCAGGACAGAGGCGGGCCGGGGTCTGGGGCTGCGGCCGGGCTCCGGGGCTGCGGCCGGGCTCCCAGCGTTTCCTCCCGCCCCCGCAGCCCGCTACCCACGGGCGCAGTAGTTTCTCTTACTCCGGCTGCCGGGGGTGCCAGCGATTGGCTGCGGACGGATGGCCGCGCGCGGATTGGTTGCCCGGGGCAGGGGGCAGGGCCGGGGGGGGCAGAGTCCGCCCCCGAACCTTCAAAAGGGAAGCCCCTACCGACGCGCCCACAGACCCGAGGCTGCACTGCGGGGCAGCGAGGCCTGGAGACGGAGAGACTGAGCCGCGCGCGCCCCGAGGCCCCGGGCCGTCGGGCGCGCGTCTCGTCTCCAGCCATGGGGTCGGCGGCGCTGGAGATTCTCGGCTTGGTGCTGTGCTTGGTGGGCTGGGTGGGCCTGATTCTGGCGTGCGGGCTCCCCATGTGGCAGGTGACGGCCTTCCTGGACCACAACATCGTGACGGCGCAGACCACCTGGAAGGGGCTGTGGATGTCGTGCGTGGTGCAGAGCACAGGGCACATGCAGTGCAAGGTGTACGACTCCGTGCTGGCGCTGAGCCCCGAGGTGCAGGCGGCGCGGGCCCTCACCGTGGGCGCCGTGCTGCTGGCGCTCGTCGCGCTGTTCGTGACACTGGCGGGCGCCCAGTGCACCACCTGCGTGGCCCCCGGCCCGGCCAAGGCGCGCGTGGCCCTCACGGGCGGCGCGCTCTACGCGCTCTGCGGGCTGCTGGCGCTGGTGCCGCTCTGCTGGTTCGCCAACATCGTGGTCCGCGAGTTCTACGACCCGACCGTGCCCATGTCTCAGAAGTACGAGCTGGGCGCCGCGCTCTACATCGGCTGGGCCGCCTCGGCGCTGCTCATGTGCGGCGGCGGCCTCGTGTGCTGCGGCGCCTGGGTCTGCACCGGCCGCCCGGATTTCAGCTTCCCGGTGAAGTACTCGGCGTCGCGGCGGCCGACGGCCACCGGCGACTACGACAAGAAGAACTACGTCTGAGGCGGGGCCTCCAGAGGGAGGATTGGCCGGGCGATCGGCCTCCGCTGGGGTGTGCCGCGCGCCAGCTCCGCGGAACTCGGGGCTCTGTGCCCGCACTGGACTCTGGTCAGCGGCCCGTCCTCTCCCGCCGCCTCACCAGCCCCGGCCGCGCCCTGCCCCCCAACGGCGATGCGCGCTTGGGAGGACTCCGCAGTGACTTTTGCGCCCGGTGCTGGCCCCACCACGTGGGTTGGGCGCGCGTTCCTGCTCTGTGGGTGCTGCACTGGAGATGCCCGCTTGCTCCCCAGGGGCTCCACATTTCAGAGGAACAGACTAAGCCCAGGGGCCCCAGCCTGGACTGCCAGAAGGACGTTTACAGCTGGACTAGACGACACCCACGGGCTGGACCTCCCTGTCTCAGGCTTACAGACACCAAGTCCTGGGTGTGGGACCGGGACCCTGCCTGCCTCCACAGCTTGTGGGGAGTTGTGCGAGTCTGCTTAGTAAATGGTTTGGATGCCCTCCCACCGTGTCCTGTCCTCTGTCCAGTCACTGCCTGTGCCCAGCAGCCCCCTTTCATCCACCCACCCACTGATATCTTCCCAATAAGCAGGGCTGGCCCTCGGAACCGGGAGACCCCATGGCCACTTCTCAGGTCCCCCCCGCCATCTGGTCGCCTTCCCACTGGGTGGGAACAGGGCCACTGCTGAGTCCCCGGAGGACTGGTGGGCGCAGGGGCTGAGGCAGACCCCAGCAGATGCTGCAGGTGGGCCCAGCCAGCGTCGGGGTTGGGGGGCATTGTCCTGGGATGCAGGCAGTGCCAGGGCTGCTGGCTTTACCGAGGGGACTGGGCACCAGGCGCCACCTGCCCTCCCAGGGCTCAGCCATCCCTGGGTCACTCCCACGGGCAGGCATCTGCATGACACTGATGAGGTCCCTGCTGCCAATGTGCAGTGGGAAGAGGGGCAAGTCCAGGGTGGGTGCCAGGCTCTGCAGAGGGGGCTGCAGGTCGACGATGACAATGCCACAGGGAGGCTTTGGCAGCTGGCTGCCCAGATTGAACTCCAGCCTCCAACGCTGGCTCCCTGCATAGGCCTGTGCCCACCCTGATGTCCAGGGAGCTGGCCCAGACTCGGGTCAGCCGTCAGCATTCCATGTCAGCCCCTGCTGGGGGTACCCGGTGACCTTCCTCCTGGGGGTGCTGGCCCTAATGAGGCCTTGGGTGGGCATCTCACAAGGGCAGAGTGGGCCAGACCTGTGACAGCCACCAACTACTCTGTGCTTCTGGCCCTCTTCTAAGCACTCTGAATTAATGCGTTTTCACCGTCTGCCAAAGGCCAGGGCAGGAGGATAATGGATAGGATCGGGGCTGCTGGAGGAGCTCCAGACCCGCCAGTGGGAAGGGCGTGGCGTCTGCCCCTGTTCATATCCAGAATGCCTGGGCCAGGTCCCGAGGCAAGGAGTCTCCCAGGCCTGGCCAGGCTGCCCCGTGGAGAGGGGCAGCTGCTGTGAACTTGGCCCCGAGTCCCAGGACTTTCAGGGAGGCTGAGATATCCGGGGGTGCGAGCTCCCCACAGCAAGATGAGCAGAGAGGGCTGGACCCCCAGCAGTCTCGGTAGCATCGCCACCTGGGCCTGACCTGGGGCAGCCCCCAGGACAAGGCATGTGTGGTCCTGGGCTTAGCCCCTCTGCGCTGGCCACAGGGCCCCGCCAGCCGGGCACAGCACAGACACTGCCCGGCTGACTGCGGAGCCCAGGCCCCCGCGGGGACCCTGAAGGAGCGCTGCCCAGCCCTGGCTCCTGCACATGGATGGGGCGGGGGGCGTGGGGCCCCGGGGCCAGGCTGCCGTCCCCCACCCCCGTCAGGGCCAACTTCCGACCCTCCTGGGCGGGGGTGAACTCCATTGCAGAGGAGCCATGCGACCCCAGGGCAGCTACTGCACTGCCCACAACCCTCCCCCAGGACTCCCGGAGACCCAGCCCCCCCACACGTTCAACTGCTGGACCTGATTTCCAGGTTTTCCCACCAACCTAACCGCTGCCCAAACCACTGTGCTTCCTCCTGCTGCAGCCCCGCGTGCCACACCCAGGAGGCTGCAGCCCTCCAGCCTGCCTGCCCCCTGGGCCCTCAAGGCAGAGGCTGGAGTGTCAGCCACATGTGTGAAGGGCGCTCTCCTTGCCAAAGGGCAGACGGGGCAGCCTTGACCGCCCTCAGCCGGCACAGGCGCTCCAGGGACAGCCCAGCCCACGGCTCCAGACCTGCAGGCCTGCCCAGCTTGGAGCTCCCGTGATGGGACACGGCTGACGCTGACCGCGAGGGCCCTCAGCCCTGCCTTCCTGAACTGGGGCCTCGCTCACTGTCCCCCCCGGGGTGCCGCAAAGCGGGTGCGCCTGGACAGACAGGCGCTGGGATGAGTGGAAAGTGGGCCTGGACGGGTACGCGGTCCAGAGCGTGGGTCTGAGGCCCATGGACAGAGGAAGTGGCTGGAGTCTGGAGCAGGCGATCCTGCTGGCACCACGGCAGTCAGCGCGGGTGGGCGGTCCCGCTGGCACCACGGTGGGAAGCGGCGGGCGGGTGGAGCGGGCGGTCAGCATGGGCGCTGGGGGCCTGGGCTCTGCCCACGGCTGTCCAGGGAGCCCTGAGGTCACTCCCCACATGGACTTCCCGCTGGGTGGCAGGGTGCCCGGGACACAGGACCAAGGCCCCTCTGGACACAGAAGGCTCAGGGAACAACCAAGTGCTAGCCCTGTGACCAGATCCAAAATTAGGGCGCCATTTTATTCCATTAAAAACCATCGTCCCTGTGTCTAAAACAACGTCCGTGAATTACAACCTAAATAAAAACCAGTCAGCATAAATAAGGAGGAGGAGGAGGTGACTTCTGAAGAAATCAAACTCTGGAAAAGACAAAAAAGAAAGAATAAATGTCAACAGTTGTTAACGGTTCCCCAGATCAGACAGACAGCGAGCAGGCCTTCCGGCTGAGTGCCCGGGGCTGCCCCCCCCCCCCCCCCCCCCCCCTGCTCTCCCAGGCTGGCCCACCCCGGCTCCGTGCAGCTCACACGGGACACGATGTCATCACTGGGCCGGCTGCAGGGAGGGGTCTGTCCCCAATGCCTGCCCCACTGCAGAGACCCCCCCCTTGAAACCTTTGACTCAAGCCCCCAAGGGCCATTGCTGAGGACCCGCCCTCCAGGCCCAAGGGGTGTCAGCCCGTTTCAGATGAGACAGGGGCAGCCTGGTGAGGGTCCCCCACACACTGCACAGGAGACCCAAATCTGACCCTGAGTCCCATGCTCCCCGGGGTCCCAGAGGCCCCAGACTGTTCTCAGTGGAGCCACTGGGGCTCCCTCGCCCTGAGGTCAGCAGAGAACTGGGGGCTGGAGACTCTGGGCCGGCAGGAGGGACCCCCACATCCACGCTGGAGCCAGGCTGGGGCCTGTGTCCCAGCCAGGGCTCAGGGCGGGGGGCCTGGGGGGCCCTGGACAGAGCAGGGCCAGCCCATCACCCACAGGTCCTGGAGGCAGAAGTGGCCCTGGGGTGCCGGGGCGGGGTCAGCCGAGCAGCATCTGGACTGTCGGTGACGATGCGCCCGGCTCCCCCCAGGGCTGGGCCCCCTCACACGTACAGAGCACCAGAGCCGCACAGACGCCCAGGGCCTGACCGCACCCGGTGGCCAGGGCAGGGCAGACGCTGGCTCCCCCTGTAGGGACTCCAGGAGCCTAATGTGCTCAGCCCCCTCAGCGCGCCCCACTGTGGCCCCGCCAGCCTGGGCAGGCAGCCCCGGGGAGAGCGCTGCGCCCGGCTCCACGGGCCCCACCCGGCCTCGAGCGCAGAAGCCGGCCCCGAGCAGAGGCCGGGTTCTGTGGCAAAGCTCCAGCACAGCCTGCCCAACTCACCCTAGGACAGCAGGGTCACGAGTGCATCCAGGAACTTGCTGCGGTCCTCGGCCTTCAGCTCCATCACTGCAGTAATGAAAGGAAAACACCGCTGGGACGGGGCCGACGCGCTGCTGACTCCCACAGCCTGACGGCAGCCCCCCAACATTCCACGCGCACCTGGCTCCCTGGGCACTCCACCCCCCGCGGCCTGCTCTCTCAGGGCAGCGGGCCAGCCTGGCCACCCACGCGCCTGGGGGCAGGGGAGCTGAGCAGCTCGGGCCCAGGAGGTCCTGCCTGGGGAAACCGGGGCGTCCTGCCGGCCGGCCGGCACCACCTTTCCAATCTCACGTCTGAAATGGGAGGAGGGGGCTGCCGCTGGGGTACGCCTCTGCAAGGATGCAACGAGAATGGCCTGGCAGGAAGACTCCAGCTCCAGGCCCAGGAGGCCGTGGGGGGAAGGCAGGTCTCAGGGCAGAGACGGGTCTTGTGAAGGGCCTGCTGGTAGTTTGAGAGGCCCCTTCTAGGGGCAGGTGGTGCGGCAGGAGGGCCCCCCACATGATGTGGCACCCGGACCCCAGCACCTCAGGACATGACCGTCCCTGGAGATGGGCTTGTCTCTACGTATGGTCTTAGTCACATCTGGCTCTTTGTGACCCCGTGGACCGCAGCCCGCCAGGCTCCTCTGTCCGTGGGACTCTCCAGGTAGGAACACTGGAGTGGGTTGCCATGGCCTCCTCTAGGGGATCTTCCTGACCCTGGGATTGAACCCTCGTCTCCTGTACCGGCAGGCAGGGTCCTCCCTGCTGCGCCCCCTGGCTTGGCTGTGTCAAGTCTGTCTCGTGAGGGATCTCTGGTTGTGGCCCACAGGCTCCAGAGCACACGGCCTGACAGCTCCTAGCTGTCCAACCAGGGGTTCAAATCGTGCTCCCTGCAAGGCTGATTCTCAGCCACTGAACCAGCAGGCTCCTAGCTTCCCAACCAGGGGTTCAAATCGTGCTCCCCGCAAGGCTGATTCTCAGCCACTGAACCAGCAGGGAAGTCCGTGGAAGTGGTCTTTTAAAGAGGTGAGTGGGTTACCGGAGGTCACTATGGAGGGACCTGAGCTGGTCTGACTGGGAAGAGGTGAGAACAGACTGGGGAGACGCTGGCATCTATACGCCCAGCAGAAGGGCTTCGGTGGAACCGGCCCTGCGGACACCCTGACCAGCCGGCCCCCAGCATGGTGAGAAGTCTGTTTCCATTGTTTCATCCCCCCCAACCCGCCGTGGTGATTTGTCCCAGTGGCTTGGGCTCACTGCCCTGGGGTGAAGCCCCTCACATCAGAGAGACTGACAGCAGACAGGGCCAAACGTGACCCTGTCCCACCCTGGCGCCCAAAGACTGCAGGTGCTGCGCGTACTGGCGGCCCCCAAGGGTCGGCCCCTGCAGCCTCCACTGGGCAGCCTCGGGGCTCTGGGGAAAGTGGCCCCAGGCTGGCCGTGAGGCTGGGCTGCGGTGCAGGCCCGAGGGCAGAGGGCTGCTGACGCCGCGCGGGCGCCGAGCAGGGGTGCTCACCCGAGAGGTCGAAGTGGTTGTGCAGCGCCCGGGAGTTGGTGCCCTCTGCCGCCTTCTCAAACGCCCGGCCAAAAAAGCTAGGGACACAGAGACACGCTCGCCGGCCACCACCTGGGGCCTCAGGCCACTCTGGCGGGCCGCTGCCCCTCCACCCCGCCGCTGCCCCTCCGCCCCAAGCCCAGCCCTGCTCAGCCCTCAGGCGAGTATGCCCCCCACACCCCCCTGGGTGCCCCCCATGCCCCACAGAGCTGTGTGGGGTGGGGTCCCAGACATGCATGGCAGGGTGGGATGGGCCGGGGGAGAGGAGGGGAGAGGGCGCAGGGCACTGGGATACAGGGCCCGCCCGCCTCAAGGTGGAAAAGGCAGTCCCCGGCCTGGTAATGAGGCTGGACCCCCTAGACCCAACCCCTGGACTCACTTCTTTCTGTCCGAGCTGTCGGTCTCTGGGGGGATGCCCACCATGGTCACGGTGCCCTGCTCCACGCTCAGGGGGGCAGCCATCACCAAGGGCAGCAGCTTGCAGCGCCGGTTCTTTGTCTGCTGGAGGGATGCGCACCTCAATCATGGCCTGTGCCCGGGCGAGCACCCCCAGCGCCCAGGAGCCCCGAGACGCCTGAGTCCCCAGGCCACTGCCCCAGCCTCCGGGGCCGCCAGCTGCTCCCCCCACCTGCTCCAGGTCCTGACGTGGTTGTCACCTCCTCCAGGAGGCCCTCCCAGGCCCATGCCTCCCCCACCCTGTCTACTGAACAGGACCCCAGCCCTGGAGGCCCCCACCCTCACCGAGCACACGAAGGACTTGAGCAGGTGTCTGCTGAGCAGGCTCAGGGAGGCGGGCTTGGAGAACAGCACCATGTCCGGGGTGCCCTGTGGGCGCAGGGTGGGCGGTCAGGGGCAGCCGGGGGGCCTGGCAGGGGCACGCGCGCGTCGGGGAGCTGACCTCCGTGAGGGAGCAGTAGAGGAAGGGCCCCTGGGAGACGACGAGGTTGGTGCAGAGGCAGCTGGCGATGATCTGCTGCGTGGCGCGCAGCTGCTGCTTGGCGAGCTCCAGGCCGCGGTAGAGCCTGTCCAGGTTACCCCTGCAACGGAAGATGCGCAGCGGGGCCATAGGCTCACAGGGGCGCCCAGCTCCCACGGGGGGCCGTGAGGACGCGCTCCCTTCCTCTGGCCCAGCTCGCTCCCACGAGAGAGGAAGCAACGGAGTGTTTAGCCAAAGGGATGGACGTGTCGGGGAGGGGCTGGTGTCAGAGGACAGGAGACTGGAAGCCAGCAGAGGTGCCTGCAGGGTTCTGACTGGGGAGGTGGGGGGGCACCAGGGACCCTGCCGCCTGGCAGATGTATTTCTACCCTTCTCCCACTCCAAGGGGGTTCTCCTCTGGGGAGCAGTGAGGCCTTCAAGCGAACCTCCATACCCAGCAGGTAAGGACCCCAAAATGCCACACTGGCTCCCCACCTGCCAGGACGAGGCGGTGCCTTCCACCTGCAGGTCGTCCCCAGAGACCCAGGGCTCGCTGGGCATCCACAGCACTGCCCTGCGCCCTGGAACTGGTGACTGAGAGGCACCAGACATTTGAGAAAGACCTGTGGCCTGAGAAAACGACCCTAGAGGAAACGAGATAATCTGGAACCAGAAGAATGCTTGAAATGAAGTCTAGTTGGTGTCTTCAGAGAGATTTGGGCAATATATTCATAAACCAAGAATAGGATGCTATGAAAAAGGAACAATCAGAAACTGAGAAGTGTTTGTGGCAAGAATGATTGCAGCACATAAAAAGTTCCCTCGAAGGCTACAGGATAAAGTCCAGAAAAGCTCCTCACACAGATGAGACCAACACGTGGGAGACCAACGGCAAAACCAGAGACTGAGAGACTGAGCATCATCCCAGGAGCCCAGGGAGATGGAGAAACGGGTGTGTGGGGGGCGGGGGGACAGAAACCACAAAGTACAAAGGCATTCCCTCGGACTCACCCAAAGCTCAGACTAACGCAGGAAATGGTATCGACCTCACACACCACTGGGCCTTCTGCACACTGAGAACTGAAAAGGGCCCCGAAAGCTCCTGGCGGGGTCGGGGGTGCACTCACAGAGAAACGAGAACCAGGACGGCTTGGGCCTCTCATCCGCACCATGGGCGGTGGGGAGGCGGGCAGCCACCCTGAATTCTGCACGAGCCAGACCAGCACCCAGATGAGGGTGAAGGACGCTGTCAGACACGCGAGGGCGCAGAACCTTTCCCTCACATGTGCCTGTTCTTCAAGAGCTGCCTGAGAATCACACTCTTGCAAAATGAGGGCGTGCAGACATCCGAGGGGCCCTGGACACGTGCCGGGTCCACCCCAGGGGCACCGTCTGGGTGGCCGGTGGCGGCAGCAGGCCTAGTGGCTTGGAGCCAAGGTCACAGCCCAGGAGACGCCGGGGAAAACCAAGGGCTGCGTGGCAGAAGGAATGTGGTCACTGCCCAGGTGGTTCCAACGATGAAGAATCCGCCCGCAAAGCAGGAGACGCGGGTTCGACCCCTGCGTCAGGAAGGTCCCCAGGAGGAGGCAATGGCAACCCACTCCAGTCTTCTTGCCTGAAGAATCCCACGGACAGAGGAGCCTAGACGGATAAAGTCCACGGGGCCACGAAGAATTGGATACGACTGAGTGACTAACACACACACACCCCCGCACGTTAGTGACTCTGGGATATTTTATCAGTCCAACCACGAACCACTGTTCACTGAGTTTCATCACTTAGAATCAACCTACAGCCAAAGGTGAGAGGGCTCCCATTCGGTCCTCTACCCCATGATTCAGCGTTATCAACTGTGAACACGCGGAAGCATTTTCACATCTAGGGAGGTGCGGGGGAGAGGAAAATGAGGGATGCCAACAACCTTTCCTCACCGACTGGGGAGAGAAGAACAAGATGTGAGAACGTCAAAGCTGAGAAGGAGCTAAAAATAGAGGAAGGCTGTGCGGACAGGCGGGAAGGCGCACAGAAGGGGCTGAAGGCTCTTTGTTGAGGCAGGAAGTCAGTGGACAATGACCGAGACTGGCCCGTCAGCTCTGAGATGGGTGGAAATGGTCGACAGTATAGTTTTTGGATTTTCCCATGCTTCTAGATAAAGATGGAGCAACATTATAGAACCAGTGACCTTTGGTTCTGAGACTCACACTTAGAACACAAGGGAGAAACACTGCTGCCCGTGAGCTGAATGCAGGGGGAGGAGGCCCCCAGCTGGCCAGCAGACACACTGTCAGCATCGGAGTAGGGGCGGCAGGTAAGCAGAGGCCTAAGAAAGAAGATTCAGGCAGCTGCGGACAGAGGCCCCGGGGGCCACGTGGAGTCGTGGCAAAGACCAGGGGCCAGGGCAGGCTTCCCGAAACAGTCAGGAAGACTAAACTCGCAACACATGAGAAATGGTCCAATCCAGTCAAACAGGAAAAAGGACAAGGAGGATGGCCTCGCTCTCCAGAAGGAAGGTTAACTAGAAAGACGCGTCCTCAGAGGCCCAGAATTGTAATGTCCTATTTCAAAACAAGCCGGAAGACAGTAAAAGATGGTGCATCTCAGGAAGTGGGACGGGGAAACATCAGAAACAGAAGAAAATAGTTCAGAAAAGAAGACCAGATGAAAAGAGAGGAGTGAACACACATGCAGAAATGCCCGAAGAGGTGCGGGAGATGAGAGAGAAGGGAAATTTAAGAATCAAAAGGAAGGAAAGCACTCCCCTTGAAGCTGGGCCACGGCCACACCTACTACCTGGAGAGGCTGTCCAGGGCCTGCGTGAAGCTGTCCGTCCCAGAGCCGTCCTCGGGGCTCTCCATCAGTGACATTGTGGCGAAGACCACATCGCTGGCCAGGAACTTGTGCTTGAAGCCAAAGTGGACGCTGAAAGTCTGGACACGCATGTCCTTCATGCTGCAGCGGGGCAAACGATGTAGTGGCCGTCTGTGTGTGCCCAGGGCAGCCTGCGCTGGGCCAGCTCACGGGCTGGCACCCCCGCACGACGGCCCCCCCCAGCCCCCAAGGATTCTCACGGCATGGCCCTTCCGGTCAGAGAATGGATGGGACGGGAGGCCGGCACACCAGCCCCACAGCAGGGATGCCGAGTGCCCAGCACCAGGCCATCAGCTCATGGGGCATGGCAGGAGCTGGCTGTGTGTGTGCAGAGGGCGGGGGCATCCCAGGGCACCAGGAGCAGCCAGGCCCGTGCCCTCCAGCAGGGCCAGCGAACCCGCTAGGCACACCTCGCCTGAACCCAGCCCCAGTGGGATCCCAGGGTCCAGAGATAGGCCAGGTTGACTGCAAACGTCTGCATCTCAGCCCCAATTCTAGACTTATCAGGCATTTCAAGAGGTCCTATTTTTAACCCAAAGAGAAGGTCCCAATCATTTGCGTATTCTCATTTTCTGCATTGTTTTTAGAATGTGACTAAAGCTGAAACCCCTGACAAAGTTTAATCCATAGAAATGTGAGTTTACCCAAACTTATTTGCAGACTCTTCAATCATCTCCCGCAAATTCTCCTTCAAGGAGACATCCATGGACTGAAACTTCTGCTTCACCTGTTTGAGGGGAAGACTGGGGAGGGGGCACTTGGTCATAGGAGGCGCGACCCCTGGTTGCCACTCCAGCCTGGTCAGTCTAGAATGACCAGATGCAGGGCTCCACAGAGGAGTGGGGGGGGGGGCCACAGGGCAGGGCCTCGGGCACACTCACCCCACATCCGCGAGGAACTCCTGCAGCCGCTTCTGCCCGTGCAGGGACCAGAGCTTGAACCTGGCCGCCGTGTAGCACGTGTTGCACAGGCTGTCGTGGAGGGACCAATGCTGGTAGAGCGCCAGGCGGAGGCTGGGCCCGTGTCAAGGAGCTTCGGCTGCACGGTGACCTGCCCCCACCCCAGGACCGCCACCTGCACCACCAGCTACCCCGGGGCCCTGGGGCTCCCCGATCTCAGCGTGACTCGACCCTGACAGAGTCTGAGAGGTGTGGACACACAGCGAGATCAAGGGGACCCTGTGGCCACACCCCAGCGGGAGTCTCCAGCTCTGGCTGGCCTGAGACACGGGACACTCCTGAGCACAGCAGAGCCTGTGCCCACGGGGCCCTCCCAAGTCTCTGGTCCAGGGGATGTGGGCGGCGAGGATACTCGTACTCGAAGGAGATGCGCGCGCAGTCCACGGAGAGCGCGTGCTCCTCATCCTCATGCCGGTGGCTGTGCCGGGACACATGCCGCTGCAGCACGCCCACGTCGGTCACGTACTTCACCCTGGAGGACAGCACGCCTGGGCTCGCTGCCGCCACAGAGAAAAAAGGCGCCCCCGCCCCCCCGCCCCGCTGCTGAGTGTCAACACAAGGCCACACACGACTGGACCCAGGCCCACGGCAGCCCCTCCTCAAAGGGCCCTGCAGGGACGCGGGCCCCTAGCCCCTATGGCAAACCCACTGCGGCCAACCTCGGGCAGCCCAAGGGCGTGCCCTTACTGGGTGATTTTGTCTTGCACCCACTGGTCCGTGAGTCCAACGATGGCCCACCTGGAGGGAAAGGACGCAGCCGTGAACGGGCGGGCGGCACTCGTGGGCACCTCCGGCCAGTGGGATCTGACCCAGACGCTCCACTCCACCAGGCCCCCAGCAGACCCGGAGGCAGCCCACAGGCACCCCTGCCCCGGAGCTCACCACCCGCCAGGGCTGCAAAGGTGCCAGGTGGCAAGTGGCCTTGCTCAAACCTCACACTCAAGTTTGCTGAGCAGCAAGGTAGTGGTCAGCTGGGAAGGGCTGACAGCCCAGGCCCAACCCCGGGACCCTCTATGCCTGTGATGCGCCGCTGTCCCCCTCCCACAAGTCTGTGTGAGGCAAGAGCTGCATTCAGGAAGGGAACCAGGCCCCCACACAAGTGCAGGACAAGGCCGCAGCCAGCACTGGCGGGGGCCCAGCTGCTCAGAGGGGCCCACGCACCACAGCATGTCGCTCAGGTCCTTGGACATCAGCCATGCCAGGTCAAACATCACCATGGCCGCCTACGAGAGAGACAGGCCTGAGGCCGGCAGTCCTGCTCAGGGCAGGTCCCGGCCCGCACTGCCTGGGCCCCGGGGTCCCACGTGGAGTCGGGGTTGGGGAGAAGGGTCCAATTGGAAGCCCTAAACCCCATCTGCCCCGAGACTCTGGGCCTCCTTCAGCAGCTCAGAGAAGGCTGGCCTCCAAGGGAGGGTCCGGCATCTGAGGGGCCAGGTGTCCGTCCCCACCCAGACTGCCCACCTGCCTGCGCCTCAGCACCCCCCACCTGCTGGAACAGAAGGACCACCCTGCAGAGGCCAGCAGGACCCCGACCACACAGGCTCAGAGTCAGGAACCCAGGACCAGACCCTAAGACCAGACACAGCACGCTGCACTGGAGACCTATTTTCTGGGGTGCCTCAAGGTCCCAAGCTGTGCTCAGCAACCCCAAGCTGACATGATGTGTCTCCTGTACGAAATTCGTCCCAGGACACACAGACGCTGACGGGCCTATGCGAGTCGAGTTCCAGCCCCCTGCACAGACTAACAGGCCCGTTCAGTGTTTCTCACAATGAACAGAAGTTAACAGCTGCTGTTCCCTTGGGCACCCCTGGCCTGAGGGACCTTTCACCCAAGAGAGGCCCAGAGGCTCACCCCTCCCCAGCCACACAGAGCGGGCTGCGGGGCTGGGAGCAACCCCCAAACCCGTGTGCCGTCCTCCTCCTGTATTAGGACAGTGGCCCTCAGAATGCGGACAGGACCGCGACCATGCCCGCCTGTACCCACCGACGTCCCGTGATACTCGTACTGCTCGTAGTCAAAGAGGATGTCTCTCCTGTAAGGACACAAGAAGCCGGGTCTCCACCGGGAAGCAGAACAGGAAGAAAACATTGGGGAAGATGCTAAAATCCGATGGCACCCAAGAAACACGATTTGCAGGGTGAAGAGGAAGTGTGGGTAACTTAGTTTCCTCTTCACGCTTTTTTTCCTTACGAGATGTTTCACACAATTGCCATCTATCCAATTTGTGAGAGTTTGTAAACAAAAGTATCCATACTTAGAAACTATGACAGCAAAGGACCAACGCATCACCCCTAATGGACAGCATGTTTGGGAGACCTGGGGCCCTGCCTGGCCCTCGCGGGACCAGAGGCAAAATGGAGGGGCCCAGAGCTGCTCCCAGTGCAGGGCCCACACACGCCATCCTGCAGGCGCTATCCCAGAGGCACTCAAGCAAGCCCGTGACCTTAACATGGAGAAGAGATGGGCATCGCTGACCTGCCTTCCCACCACTGGACGCATCCTCACCTCCGGGCTTCCCACTCTCTCCGCTGCCTTCTCTTCAGGGTTCGCTCTGCAATCTCCTGACCACAACAAAGAGAACAGAGGGCTGAGAGAGAGCCAGGAACTCAGCCCCCAGGCCAGGAAGGTTCTGACCCAACGGGAGGCCAGCAGGCGAGCGGGACACCGCAGGGTCTCTGTGGCGACGGCAGTGTCCCGTGTCCTATTTCAGTGGCTGTGGTAGGTCACGTCGGGGACATGGGCAAAGCGCATACGTGCTTTCAACTTGTTTCTGACACCTGCGTGTGGATCTGCAGTGATGTCAGAACCAGTTTCAAAAGGCAAGTGATGGTCCTGATGAGGGACCTTCTGGAGGGTGATGGAACGCCTCCCTATTACGCGACTTCATACATCTGTCAAATCTCACGGAACTGTACGCCTGGGAAGGGTATTATGTAGAAGGTGTGCCTTAGGGAAGCTGGATGGCAACACCCCCAGGTCTTGTCGGTAGTCCAGCAAAGACTTCTCTGACCTTCCCCACAGTGCCGAGTGGTGTCCTGTACCCTGCCCTCACGCCTGTGGGCTCCTAGGCTGGTCAGAAGGGCTCAAACAGCTCAATAAAAAAAAAACCAAATAAACCAACCTAATCAAAAAACGGGCAGGGCATCCAAACAGACATTCTGCCCAAAGTCAGCACCTACACCTGCTGTCTCCCAGCTCTGCCTGGGCCCCCAGGCTCTGGGCTGAGCCTTGACCTTCGGGAGTGACCCGAAGACTGTGGTGAAGGGCCCAAACCCACCTCTTCCAGCCGTGTGCGCTTCTCAGAGGGCTCTGACCCCTCATCACTTTCATTTCCCGAATGTTCTTCATCCTCTTCTTCATCCCGGAAGATGTCTTCATAAGCGGGAACTTCAAGGTCATCATCTTGTTTAATGAGCAGTTTGATCTACAATTAAGACAGAAAGCCATCAACCTCCCCTCTCCTTGATGGAAAACTATCCATCACATATTTTCTCTCCCAGAATCTTATCTCCCGAACCTGCACCCAACTCAGTGCACAGAAGGATGGAGCCTGCAGACGGAACAACTATGCAGTCACTTAGGTCTGGATAAAACACTCCCTCTTAGGCCCACACTTAGCCAACAAAACGAACACCTTGCACCTCAGCCTCCGACCAAGGGCACAGAGACCCGTGACCTCGCAGTGAGCAAAACTCCTGTCCCTAAAAGAGGTCCTTGGTGAGAGGGTTTCAGGGCTGAGGCTACTGGGGGTGCATTCCCACAGGCGGCTCAGAGAGCTCATGTGAGATGGCACATGGCCCCACCCGACTGTCCCGGACCTCACACTACCCAGGTAGCCAGGGAGCGTCCTGCACTGCCCCATTTAGACAGCAGGTGCCTCTGAGGTCCCCGATAGTCAATAAAGCCGGCTGGCCTAAGATCAAAGTGCAGACTTGGAGCAGGTTCCAGACCCTGTGCCTCCTGGGTCAAGCGAATTCCACACATGCCTTCTGAGCACCTCCGAAGGGAGGTGACGTGTTTCTCATCAAAGATGGACAAGACCAGGCCCTGTTCTCAGGCTGCTCCAGCTCCTATAGGCAAGGTGGACACATGCCTTGCCAAGAACACCAGGCCTGACGCTGTGGCATAAAAACAGACAGGGGGAGAGCTCGGGGAGTCTGGCCTACCTGGGTGTCGTTGTACACATTCACGACATTGACTGGTCTGTGAGTGTCACACACGAAAAACACGGCCTCTTCATCGGGTTGAAGGATATCCAACAGATCCACATTGGCGCCACAGTTTATGAGGACAAAATAGCGGAACTGGACAAAGGAGAGGGACGCGGTGAGTTAGTGCACAGGGGAGGCCATCTGCTTTCAGCACCAGGCCTGAGGCCTGCAGGGGCTCGTCCAGCCCGATACAGGGCAAGGCCCTGCTAGCGAGGGGCTCCAGACGCGGCCACAGCTGGCCTGTGCAAAGGGCCTTAACAACCCCACGCACAAGTTCATTTTCAGGATGACACTGTGAGGCAGGTGCCATGACTGTCCTGCCAATGAGGAGTAGGCAAAGGCCGAATCTCTTCTGGCCTCAGGCGTGTCCGCATCAGATGTGGACAGACCTAGAGTTCAAATGGATAGTGGGGTCTCTCCCGACCTGTCACTCACTCTTCTGTGACAGACTCCTCTCTGTGCTAGCAGCACTGCACCAGGTCAGATTCCAGCAAGTCTGAGGTAGCTCGCATTAAACAAGCACCTGAATATTAAGTGGGGCTTCCCTGGTGGCTAAGAGTCTACCTGACAATGCAGGAGACCCAGGCTCAATCCCTGAGTCAGGAAGATCCCCTGGAGAGGGAAATGGCAACCCACTCCAGTATTCTTGCCTAGAAATCCCATGGAATGAGGAGCCCGGCGGGCTACAGTCCATGGGGTTGCAAAGAGTTGGACACGCTGAGCAACTGACACTAGACATTAAGTAAAGCTTTTTGTTACATCCTATCGCTACAGAAAACTCTTTCCTTATAAATACTGACCTGGCATAGGTCCCTCTCATGATGACAGGAGCACCAGGTGAGGACTTGTCTCTGCCAGACAGTCCTTGTTGAGGCCAGAAACTCTGGGACCCTCTTCCAGACAGCAGCCCCTCCCCGGGGGACGGTGGGGTCTCAGACATCCTGTCTCTCATCATAGCTCCATGCAGAGCTGAGAAAATACCTGGTCTCTACTGCCTAAATTCTAAAGGGAGAAAGTATGTTCCTGAACTTCCAGTTGGAAAAATAAATGTGAAATAATGGTCCAAAGTAAAGTAATTTTAACCAAGCTGTATCAGAAACAACCTTCCAAATTCCAAGCACCTGAAAGTGAAATGTGTCTAAACACAGGTTCAAAGCTAGAGATTGTCCATATTCACTATCTTGTTTTTGTTGTCAATTTTGTCTCTGCGATTGGAGGGTAAGTCACCCACACAGAGCTCACTTTTCTCTTCTATGTAGCCTAAGAAAGTCGACAGTTAGAAATACACACAAGCCATTGTAGAAATATCGAGTTCTTTACCACCAGCACCACTTGGGAAGCCCCATCGTAGAAACAGAAAGAATGCTGTGTTAAGAAATTGCAAATGAGAGATAAAGCCCAATATTCTCAAATGCATCTCTCATACCTGTTCTTTATGCTCTAGAAATGCAGTTTCAAGTTCTTGCCACCCAGAAACTGGAACCAGTGTATACTGCACGTGGTCACACTGGAACAGGGCCTGGACAGAGAGTATATTCAAAACCCATTATATTTAGGTCTGCAATCCATCTTGAAATGCACATTAAAAGAAAAAAAAAAAGATGGACTGAGAGACAACAGATGCTAACGTAAGGTTAGTGAAATGTTAACATCAATAAGGAAGTAATGGGAACATGAATGTTCACTGAACCATACTTCAGCTTTCCTGAACATCACCAAAGGAAAACACTGCTGAAAAACTTGGTATTTCTAGGTTTTTGGTGAGTAGTTCCTGACCCAAGGGCCTGACCCAAGCTCATATAAACCTTGCTTGTGTGGCTGCATGCTCAGTTAGTCCTGACTCTTTGAAACCCCATGGACTGTAGCCTGCTAGGCTCCATGAGGTTCTCCAGGCAAGAATACTGGAGTGGGTTGCCATTTCCTGCTCCAGGGAATTTTCCTGACCCAGGAATTAAACCCACATCTCCAGCATTGCAGGTGGATTCTTTACTGCTGAGTTATCAGGGAAGCCCTGAACCATATTTAAAATCAAACAACAACGATCTTTCCTTAGCACCGAAGAATTGATGCCTTCAAACTCTGGTGCTGGAGAAGGCTCTTGAGAGTCCCTTGGACAGCAAGGAGATCAAACCAATCAATCCTAAAGGAAATCAACCCTGAATATTCACTGGAAGGACTGATGCTGAAGTGCCAATACTTTGGCCACCTGAGGAGAAGAGCTGACTCATTGGGAAAGACCTTGATGCTGGGCAAGATCTAAGGCAGGAGAAGGGGACAACAGGATCAGATGGTTGTATGGCATCACTGACTCACTGGACATGACTTTGAGTAAACGCTGTAAGATGGTAAAGAACAGGGAAGCCTTGTGTGCTGCAGTCCATGGGGTCACAAAGAGTCGGACACGACTGAGCAACGGAACAACAACGCTCTTTCCTATTAGGTTAAGGAGTCAGTATCTCCAGAATCCCTGATGACACCCCAGTGCCCTCCACTGTCAGATTCCTCTGCCTCGAACCCCAACGGCGAGAAGGCGCCACAGGTCTACCGATCTCTCCAACGCAGCCGTCCTGTGCCCACCTTGTGGCCTTTTGCCGGCTTCTCCTCTAACCCACCTAACGCAGTCCCTCCCAGGACGCAACCTGGCGGAGTCCCCACCCCAGGCCGAGCTCCCGCCCCGCTCCTCCCCTTGCGCCTGCCCCCGGTCCCCCGCCGGCCCGGCCGGCGGGCCTCACCTGAAGGATCTTGCAAGCGCACAGAGCGTCCACGTCCGAGGCCACGAAGAGAAGGACCCTCTGTCGGGGGGAGAGTTGGCTGAGAGCGGCCCCGCGAACCCCGGCCCCTCCTGCCCCCACGGTTGCGCGCCCTCGTCCCTTCCCCACTCTCGGAACCCAGGAAGGGCTCACCTGGCTCTGGACCACCTCGTAGAACTCCTTGCGGAAGTCGGACACGAACATGACCGCGGCGCCTGGACACCCCGGGATGGGACTCTGCGAGCCTGGCGGCGGTCAAGACTCCCGCCAAGTCCGGGCTCTCCCGATTACCCCGGGGGCCAGCCAATCGCGACTCGGGTCTCCGCCTCTCCACTTTTCTGATTGGCCCGCGCAGGGAGCGACACTTAAGCACCGCCATTCACTGCAGGACTACTCCGGCCCGCCCCTAGAGGAGCGTCCTCCACAGGCTGCACGCACTGCGGGTCGCGCAAGTCCTATGCGACTCCGTTTCTCCAGACACTCTACGCTCCGTACACTTTACTTTGGGGGGAAAAAAAAAAATGCCCACTCCCCCCCCCCAACTGGGATCTCCAGGTGAAAGAAACCTCGCCACAAATTAAATTCATGTACACTTCAGGAATTCTCTGGAGAAGGAAATGGCAACCCACTCGAGTACTCTTGCCTGGGAAATTCCATGGACGGGGGAGCCTGGCGGGCTACAGTCCTTGGGGTGGCAAAGAGTCGGACACGACTAAGCGACTTCACTTTCACTACACTTCACTTCAGGAATTCTCAAGTGCCTCAATGATAAAGAACCCGCCTGCCAAGCAGGAGATGCAGGTTCGAGCCCTAGGTCGGGAAGCACCCCTGGAGAGGGAAATGGCAGCCCATTCCAGTATCCTTGCCTGGAGAATCCCATGGACTGAGGAGCCTGGCGGGCTGCAGCCCACGTGGGTCGCAACTCAGTCAGATACGTCCGACTGACTGAACAACACCACGTCAGAAGAGGGCGCCAGTTTAGGACGTCAAGGGGCTCGGCCTAGTTCCAGAGCGGAAGTGTGGCCTACTTCCGCCCGCGTCCTCGGCGGCCTCAGTAGAGGCTGGGAGTTCCGCCTGCATGCTGGGTAGTGTAGGCAGTAAGAGGAGTGGGCCCCAGCCCCCCAATGAGTCACGAAAGGACACTGTCAAACTAATTTGAAATAATCGCGGGAGGTGCTCTAGGGTGAATACGTTAGATAGGTGTATCTGAACGCTCGCGCCGAAGGGGGTTTTTGATCCTCGAGCTTCGGCCGCTCTTGCTTTCACAGCGTTCCGACGCTCGCGCCTCTCCCGGAAGTGCTTTTCCGTCAGTTCCGGTGAGTCCCAGGCTTCCGGGGCAAAGCGGCTGAGGCGGCTGTGGTGGCCGCTGTGAGGGGGCGTCGGCGGCTCCCACCGGCAACGTTTTCCGTCAGAGAGCTCTTGCGAGGCGAGGCGGAGGCGTCCACTATGGTGAGTGGCCGGGAGGGCAGGGCCGGCCAGGGCGGGCGGACGTGGAGGCCGCAGAGGTGCCGAGTCACCCGGCCTGAGTCCGCCGGCGTCTGGGACTGAGGCGCAGTCTCGCGGGTGTAGACCTGTGTCGGCTTCCAGCGGACAAGCGCTGGATCGATTTGGGGTCTGTCGGAGTGAGAGGAGAGCGCTCGGGCCTGCCGCCCCAGCGCCCGGGACAGCGCGGCTCCGAGACCCCTCGCCCATTGCGCCCGGAGCGGGCGTCGCGGTCGTAGCGTCGGCTCGGGAACGCAGGGTTTACGGAGGCGCGCTGTGTCGGCCACAGACGCTAGGCCTTTAGTACTGGAAGCTGGTCTGCCTGCTGAGCTGTGTGAGCACCGTGCCGTCCGTTTTACCGCCTCCGAGTGTGTCAGTGTTGGGATCCCTCCTCCCAACCCAGGAACACTGCCGGGCGCTGCGCAGTGTGCCTGTCGTGGAGGGCAGCGGGGCGGGGACAGGTTGGTGTCCATGCTCAGGGCTTGGTGTCCATTCCCTGTTTCGTGCTGGGAAGAGAACGCAGGGCTTCGATGGAGAGGGTGGTGAGGTGTGGTGAGGAGGCCCCCAGTCCACTCCCTCCGTTCATCCCAAACGCTATGTGTTTGCTAAGCTTCTGGCTCAGATTTTGTCCAGTGGAGAGTCTTGCCTAGAAAAAGGAGAGACACGGTTTGGAAAACTCCCTTGCGGCGCTGCAGGGAGTGGAGAACTGTCCGTTTTAAGCAGGAGTTGCGTTTGCTGTCTGGAAGACAGCTAGCCCAGCTTGCTCGATCTGAAATTGCTAATAAACTATGTTATCAGTACCGGACTTTGATTTTTAACAGTGTGTGCTTAGAAGACATACCAAGACATGCAGTCTTGTTAAGGTTTTTATTTAACTTGTAAACAGCCACATGTCATAAATTTAGCACTTTAGCCATCTTTAAGTGTACAACTTGTTGGTGTAAAGTTTATTCATGTTGTGTAGTGGATGTCCAGAACTTTTTGGTCTTGAAAAGTTGAAAGTCTGTTCCTGTGAAACACTTGCCTCTCCTGCCAACCCCTGGCAATCACCTTTCTTCTTGTGCCTGAACTTGATTGCCTTAAGTATCTCCTATAAGGGGAAATCCTACAGTGTTTGTCCTTCCCCATCTGGCTTATTTGACTGAGCACAATGTCCTCTGAGTTCATTATCATTGTCACACATGTTGGAATTTCCTCCCTTTTTGGGGCTAAACAATGTTCCATTGTGTGAATGGATCATGTTTGCTTTATTCATTGGTCTGTTGGTGGGTACTGGGATAGCTTCCAGCCCTTGGCTATTGTGAAGAGCGCTGCTGTGAATATGAATGTACATCTGTATTTTCGACCCTAGTTCCAATTCCTTTGAGTAGATATGCTGTTGTGCAGTTTCATATTCTTCCTCTCTGGCACCTCACAGTAGTCGCAGTACTCTGAGAACACCCTGGGTTGCTGGGCAGCATGTGTTCTGAACCTTCCTGTAACCTGCACTTTGAGAACTGGAATCTTATGTTTGTGGTGGCACTGTGTCTAGCCTCCACTTGTGTATGGGAGGGAGGGGTGTGGTGTGATGGAGCACCCCGTGATAGGGGTGTGAGCCCTGGGGCTGGGTGGAGCAGAGGAGGTCCAGAGAAGGGTTAGGGTGGTTCTGGAAGCCAGGGGAAGGGGGAGGGCTCCTGGCTTCTGGTCTTTGCAGAGAGAGCTTTCCTATCATCCTCTTAAAACAGTGTTCCCGGAGCTCTCGGTTCCTTTCCCTCTCTTGTGCTGAGAGCACTGCTGCCCAGACGGTTTCCTGCGCTCGTCTCCCTTGTGAACATCAGCTCTTCCAGGGCAGAGGTTGGAGCTGTTTGGTTAGTGGTGTTTCCCTGGTGTTTGGAGACCAGAGCCCAGCAGATGGTGGCACTCCTAAACACGGGATGAGAGGAAAGTGGTTGGGGGCAGGGACGTGGCCATCACAGGAGATCCTGGGACCTGCTGGTGGGGGACTTGGGGGCTGAAGAAGTGAAGGACAGGCTTGCTGGGGGCACCATCTGAGAACAGCGGGGGCAAGTTGGGCGGAAGGCCAGGGCACAGCAGCTGGTGGAAGCTGCTGGGCGGTGCACCAGACTCCTGGGAGGTGGCGACTGGGTAGTCTTGCTCTGGCTGCAGACGGGAGGACCAGGCTTGTGTTCTGTTCTAACTGCAGCATCTCTTTCCTCCCTCTAGTTCTCCTTCAACATGTTTGACCACCCGATTCCCCGGGTCTTCCAGAACCGCTTCTCCACGCAGTACCGCTGCTTCTCCGTGTCCATGCTTGCGGGGCCTAATGACAGGTCAGATGTGGAGAAAGGAGGGAAGAGTATGTGCTGTTTTATTTTGAATCGTAACCCTTCCCGCCCCAGCCTGCAGGGCCCTAGTCCTCAGCAGCCCTCATCTGCATGTGAACAGGAACTGGTCACTGTCATGGTGTCACGGCCCCCGGACGGCTAAGAGGTGGGGTGAGGGTCCTGTTGTGATCACATTCACGGCTGAGGGCCGTGTGGTTCTGTCAGATAACTTCCAGCCGGCCAGCTTTGTTGTGACAGAGCAATATGAAATTCTGCCTGCCCCACTAGTCTCCTACAGTACTTCGTGTAGACATAACAGAAAGCGTACTCTGGGTTTTGTTCTGTTCTGTTAGTTTTCCTTCTCTTAACATGTCTTAAACATTCTTCCCACAGTAATTATGCCGCCCTCAGCCCTCGACCAACTCAGTAAGTACTTCCTACCTGACTTGAGAACAGAGGTGATGTGAATGTGGGCAGTGGGACCACAGGCAAGCCCCTTAGCATCCGGGTAGAGGCACCCTTCGGCAAGGCTGGTTGGGAATCATCCCTTGAGGGTGCTCGCTGGGCTGGGAGGCTGGGGCCTGTGGGTGCTCCTCTGACAGCACCCCCCCCACCAGGTCCCATCGAAACTAAAGGCGGGTGTGAGCGCCAGGGCCGTTCATGCTGCTGGGGTAGCTGATGCCCTTGGCTGGAGGCACAGGGTTTTCCCCTCAAGGACGGTGGTGGCCCCGCGAGGAAGCTGCAAGCAGGCCTCTCGTCTCCCTGCGCCTCTTGTCTCAGTTCCAGCCACAGTTCTGAGCCCTCCACCCCAGGAGCTGCTCCCCACCCCCGCCTGCCTCTTAGCAGGAACAAGAAAGGCCACACTGTTCTCCCTCCCTCGACCCCTCCTCCAACGAGCGCCACTCAGAGACCTTACAGCCCAGCCCCACTCTGGACCTGGGGAGACCCCGACCACAGACACTGAGCCCCTTCGGGCGGTGCCCTCACTCTGCCGGGCGCGCACTGGGCAGGTCAGCGACTTGGGCTTTGCACCTGGCCCGACCCGACTCCAGACTAGCGGCTCTCTGAATTGGTGTCCTCACCTTTGAACAGGACACATGGAGCCATCTATGGCACTGCTCAGGGGCAGTAGTGCTTTCTGGATGGTGCCTGTGGTGTGTAAACAGCCAGGGCCCCATGGCACCAGGCAGGGGCAGGGGCAGGGGCTGGCCCTTAGGCAGCACTAGCTGCAGCCGTTGTACCCGCGGAGGGAGACCTGGAGTTCTGCTCAGCTCAGCCAGGTTGGGGGGTGAGTAGACCCGGGGCATGGCCCTTAGGCCCAATTATCACAGGAGGGGCCAGCCCAGAGTCTGGCTCGTGCGTGGAGCTGACCCGGGACTGAGACCAGGCTTGTTGGCAAACAGACAAGAGAGGAGGCTTGGGTCGATGGGACAGAGGCTGGATAGACCTCGTCAGTCACAGAGGAACTGTCCAGTGAAATCCCTGGGTAGAGGAGGTGAGGGGGCGCAGCAAGCTCGGGCGCCCCAAGGTGCTCCTCAAAATCACAATATGTAGTTTGAAAATTATTGGACTGAGAAACACGGTCTCTTCCAGTGGTGAGAATCTCAGACCCGAGGTTGGATTCCTGATGAGTCCGTTTGCGCTGACCCACCTCAGCCTGCTGCACAGCTCTGCAGCCCAGGGCACGCTGGTGACAAGGGCCCGGTGCCTGAGGCACCTTGTTCCTGCTGCCAGCCCTTCTGCTTTCCAGTCCCTGGGCGCCCAGCCTCGCACCCCCCAGCAGCCTCCCTGGCATGAGCGTCTGGGCACTCTCGGAGATGTGCTTTTGGGCCCTCTGACTTTTCCCAGCACCTGGTTGATACACAAACTGTGAATAAGTGTGCAGACGTGTCACTTTCTAGAGCTGGGATTTCAGACAAGCACGAGTATAAGTGCTGCTGCCTTCCTGTTTCAGCAAATGTCCTGAGGTCTAGCTGGAGTGCGGGGTCTGCTGAGTGGGCAGACACGCAGGGCTCAGCCCCACGAGGGTCCTAGCACCTGCCGGGGGTGGGGGCTTCCCCAGGGAGGGTCTAGGGACAGGGTTTCTCTTCCTGGAAGAAGCTGAGCCTCATCCCTCGCTCTTTTCAGGCCGACTTAACATCACCTACCCCATGCTGTTCAAACTGACCAACAAGAACTCAGACCGAGTGACACACTGCGGGGTGCTGGAGTTCGTGGCTGATGAGGGCATCTGCTACCTCCCGCACTGGGTGAGCAGCCGGCCTGTGCAGCCCTGCCCAGTGCGGCTGTCACGCACGGCCGTGGATCTGCTACCTCCCGCACTGGGTGGGCAGCCGGCCTGTGCAGCCCTGCCCAGCGCGGCCGTCATGCACGGCCGTGGATCTGCTACCTCCCGCACTGGGTGGGCAGCCGGCCTGTGCAGCCCTGCCCAGCGCGGCCGTCACGCACGGCCGTGGATCTGCTACCTCCTGCACTGGGTGGGCAGCCGGCCTGTGCAGCCCTGCCCAGCGCGGCCGTCACGCACGGCCGTGGGCGCTGTGCGCCAGGGCCCCGTGTGGAAACCACAGCCGTGCCGTTAAACTACCATTTCCTTGGTCAGGCTTTTTTTAAGTGATGGAGCAGGAGTATTTTTCAAATGATCTGAATACAGAGGTTTAGATTTTTATCTATTTTCTTCTCCCTACTGTGTGTCTGTGTGTGTGTGTGTGCCTGTACCTGAGTCTCCAGAGCACTCAACCCTGTTGCCATGCGGTGAAGCCTCTCTGCGCTCAGGCTGGCCCAGTGCGTCCCCAGGCCGGCAGAGCCACACCAGCACTGCAGGGCAGGCCCATGGCAGCCAGGAGTGCTGGTGGTGGTGGGGGCTGGTCTGCAGCACCCCTAGTGTGAGGGCCCCATGGCTGCCCCCTCTGTCCCTTGACCTTCAGCATTGTCTTCTGTGACTGCCAGCTGCTCTCAGTGTTGTAGGTACTTTGAAGATGCCCAAGGACCCTTGTATTTACAAGGTCTTATGTGGAAATGCAGTGTCCTGGGCAGTGTAGAAAGGGTGGCCTGGGGCCTTGGGGGTTGGGTGAAGTGGGGGGAGGTCCTTGTGGGAAGGCTCTGGCCTGGGGAGGCCTGGAGCTGGCAGCTGGGGCCTCGCCTGTCGACCTTCCAGCAATTGGCAGCCCCAGGTGTTCCCGCTGTGTCCCCCCCGCCCCGGCTGCACCCCTACTCTGTCCCATCTGCTCCCCTCCAGATGATGCAGAACCTGCTGCTGGAGGAGGGCGGCCTGGTTCAGGTGGAGAGCGTCAACCTGCAGGTGGCCACGTACTCCAAGTTCCAGCCGCAGAGCCCCGACTTCCTGGATATCACCAACCCCAAGGCTGTGTATCCTTCTGAAGACGGAGAGGTTCTTTGCGGGCGGAGCTGTGCAGGCGGCGGGTGACAGCCGGTCTCTGTGGGGTGTGCCTGCTGCGGGGCAGCACAGCAGTCGTGATCAGCACTGACGTGAGAGCACTGGTGTTGGGCCGGTGCGTCCACATGGCTTGGGGGCCTGGATGAGCGTGCTGGGAGCTCTGCGGACCCCGCCCGAGGGCAGCTGTGCCTTCCTGCAGGGACCCTGGCATAAAGCCCAGTGGCGCATCTGGAGCTGTGCATTGCGTTTGACCTTGTCTTTAGTACAGATCAGTAGATTGCTAAGGATGGAGCATGCTGTGTATTTGGGCATTATTCTCTTGTCTGGGCACTCGAGGTGACTCAGTTTCAAGAAGTATTTAGTAATTTTTTTTTTATTTTTTAGTATTTTTTAAAGAAAGGACTTACAGGCCAATTTTTCTTTAAAAATTGTTGTTATTAAGTGTTTTTAGTCTAAAACATATGGCAAAATACATGTTACCGCCCAAAAGATAGAAACAGCAGAAGTATAAATGAAAACATTTTCACTCTCAAGGGAACTTTACCTGTGTTTCATTCAGTCTTTTTTCCCATAGGATTTTTTAAATTCTCTCGTTGAAGTGTAATTTACATGCAGTGGAGTGCACACTTCAGCGAGCTTGGCTAATGTGTCTCCCCAGAAGGGTGGTTATGCCACCTTCTTCCTGTCTTCAGCTGACCCCTGGCCCCAGAAGCCTAGCTGCCTCCCACTTCAGAGATCTGCCTTTCTCAGGGTTTGGGGGTCTCACTGCTCCATGGCTGGTTCTTTCCCTCAGTGGAGAGTGAGGGTCACCCCGTTACCACCTGTTAGAGGTGCTTCCTTAATGTTACTGAATCATTGCCCCAACTAGACACATGACTGTTCAGTACACAGGGTGACCTGATGCTGTGAACCCCTTGTGGGCACTTGTTTCAGATGTGAGGACTCCATCTTGCTCTGTTGACCTTGACCGTGTGTGTCTACAGATTAGAAAATGCATTGAGAAACTTCGCCTGTCTGACCACTGGGGATGTGATTGCCATCAACTACAACGAGAAGGTGAATGTCTCAGCCCCATGTGTGCCAGGGCCTTGAGGCCGTGAGCAGGAGCCCCTGTTTCTCATGTTGTGGGAGCAGACACCAGTTACACACACACACACACCCCCCACACACAGACACTCTTCAGGGTCGGACACCACTTGCTCTCTGACAGTTTCCCTCTGTGAGACATGCAGTCCTAAGAGTTGTTACTGTTCATCTTTATGGATTTTGAGTTACACTTTTGTATTTTCTCATAAACTTAGAAATAGTCTTGTTCCGTTTAGCTTAGTGGGGACATTTTCGGTGTTGCCTGTCTTAAGCTTTTTAGAGTATAGGCAACCTTGACATCATTGTTCGTAAAGCATAAGGGCAGAAAAAAAATTGATGATGAAAGATATTGACTTTTTTGCATGGTAAGGGAAGGACAGTTACTCAGCTGTGCATAGAATTGAAATGCACGTCAGGGTCTCTATTTTTGGAAGTATGGAGACTGGATCCTCTAAAGGGCCCTTCTGAGAAGACTGGACAGCCTGTGCTGAGGGCTGGTCGCCCGTCCATGTGTGGTGTGAGGTCTGGGTCAGGGCCTCCCTGGGAACCTGGGCCCTTGAGGGGCCTAGTGGATGCTGAGGTAGCTCCCCTTGTGCCAGGCTCTCTGGAAGCAGCACCCTCATTTAGTGGTGCCCTCGGGACCGCTGTAGGCTGGAGAGCAGTCCTTCGGTTTCTCTCTCCTAGCCCTGGTGGCAGCCCTGTTGGTTTCATGAGTCACTATTTAGTTGTGACCTGCAGTTTGGAAACAGCTGTAGACAGGTGACATGTGCCCTGGAGCACAGACACGAATGTTCACACAGCCTTGATCATGGCAGCAGCAGTGCCAGCGGCCACCCAGCGACACAGACTCACTCCCATCAGTCACTGGGGGGGCCTGCAGGCCAGACGAGGGGTGTTGAGCCTTCTCTCTGTGCTGGGGGCCTGCCCCTCGAGGCCAGTGTTCTCAATGGTGGAGCCGTGTCAGCTGTGCATCATGAAAGCAGGACGCTCACCAGGCAGAGAGAGAGCCTGAAACAGCGCAGGGGAGAGCCACTTTCTGCTCCTGTTCCTTTGACTTGGTGCGCGTTTTCCCCACACAAGCTCATCCCCGACACCCACAGCTGGTTTTCAGCTGCCTTTCCTTCTGGCTGCCTGGGAAGCCCTGGCACCTCTGACCTGGTGCAGGGGAATCCGCAGCGTTCACATAACCAGTCTGGCACGGGCAGCCTAAGTGCACCCCACGATGAGCCGTGCTGGAGCCAACGCGCTCAGCACCATCTCGCTTGCATTTAGCTCGTTATCTGCCAACAGTTACTTCTGAAAGTGAACTTTCCTGGGATGGACATTCGGTTTTCTGCAGTTTGCTGCCTAACTGCCTTGTCAGATTTGAGTCACTTACCAGGGTGGTCAGCTGAGGGACAGGCCCCGGGGGGCCGCCCACCACCCCCCGCCCATCTCTCCGCAGTGGGAGGTGTGGCTGGGGAGGGTGTCATGAGGGGAGTGAGTGTGTGCAGGGCTGGGAGTGCCGACACAAGTGTGACGGGCCCAGAGCTGCCAGGAACCACCCCCTTCTCTCCCTAGATCTACGAGCTGCGCGTAATGGAGACCAAGCCGGACAGGGCCGTGTCCATCATAGAGTGCGACATGAACGTGAGCGGCTGCGGGATTGGTGGGGAGTGGGCAGCAGATGCTGCCAGAACCTCCAAGTAGGCCGCTGACCTGTAATCAGTGGCAGGGCTGCTGTCGGTCCTGAGACGGCCAGACCCGCCAGCACATCAGCCCTGCCAGGGGCCTGTCTCCTTGGAGGCTAAGGCAGGGCTACTCAATTCCAAGGAGGGGACTGTTGGTCCCCACACTGGCCCCGCACGCTGGGTTTCTGGGCAGGATACCCAGCAGAAGGGTTCCATCTGCCTGGGTCCGTTCATGTGGCGTTCTTGAAATGACAGCCCTCAGGAATGGAGGGCAGAGGAGTGGTTGCTGGGGTGGGGCATGGGGTCCTGGGGAGGGAGGGGTCCCTGTGGTGTGGAAACTGCTCTGGATCTTAGCCGGGGTGGGCACAGACCTGCAGTGATGCTCAGAACAGAACACGTGTGTGTGTGTGAGAGAGAGAACTGGGGAGGTCTGGACAGTGTGGAGTCGTGTGTGTGTGAGTGAGAGGACTGGGGAGGTCTGGATAGGGCAGGGTCGTGGTGCCAAAGTCACACTGTGACTTTTAACACGTGACCGTCGAAGAGGCCCCTTCTCTGTGGCTCCCACAGCTGCCCATGGACCCACGTTGCCCAGCTTAGAGGCTGCGTGTGGCCCCGCATCACTGTGCTTTCCTCCGGGCACAGGTGGACTTCGATGCTCCCCTGGGCTACAAGGAGCCGGAGAGGCAGGCCCAGCATGAGGAGTCAGCAGTGAGTCGCCCCCCCCCACATCCCTCCAGAGCTCTGCACGCCCACCGCTGGGTTCTGCCTCTGCTGGTGCCGATGCAGCCGTGTTCTCCCCGCCCAACCCACTCCCTGGCCCCGTGTGTCCTGGCTGTTTGGTGCCGGCAGAGGGGTAGTGAGGGGCCTGGGGAGGGCTTGGGCCCCACTGAGAAGCTTGTCCCGTTTCCCTGTCCCTCCAGGAAGGCGAAGCTGAACACAGTGGCTACACCGGGGAGTTGGGCTTCCGTGTGAGTGCCGCCATGTGACTGTCTGTGACACCCCAGGGACCTCAGCCGGGCCCAGGCAGGGGGATCCTGCACACGTGCACCTGGCACCTCCTCACTCTCCAGACCCTCCTCCACCCTCTTTCTCCTGGATCCTCCCAGCAACTGTCAGGCCGCCCCGACTTGTGAAAAAACTCGCCTACCAGAAAGGAGCAATAGTACAGCAGACATACATGAGCCCTTCAGTGGGGTCACCCGCCGCGGCCTCTCCTGTGGGCTCTGGGCCGCGTCCTGCGGTACACGGTGGCCTCCCGCACTGCTGCCCTCGCTGGGAGAGCAGGGGAGCACAGGCGAGGCTCAGCCTGGGGCCAGGAAGCAGGTTACAGAGCTGGGCCATGGGCCCAGCCAAGTGCATCACTGGTCCTTGGCAGCCAGTGCCCTGGGTGGCCCGGTGGGGGGGCTCCCCTGAGCTCACGGGGCCCCGGGGGGCTGGGCGCTGTGCTCCTGAGGCGGTCCCTGCCCATGCCCTGCAGTGCTGCCCCCTGCCTCAGGCCCCTCAGCCCCGGTCTACTCATCTAGGCCTTCTCCGGCTCCGGAAACAGACTGGATGGGAAGAAGAAGGGGGTGGAGCCCAGCCCCTCCCCAGTCAGGCCCGGAGACATCAAGAGGTGGGTGTGCTGGCCCTGCCCCAGACCCCCACCTGCCGTGCTCTGCAAGGTTGTGGGTGCTGCCCCACCGCCAGGCCCGCCCGGCCGTTTGCAGGCCTCATCAGACCTCTGTCCTGCCTACAACCTGGCCATCCCGACTCGGGATGTGTCGTCTTCATCTCGTGCTGTCAGTGACTGCCCGGCCGCCTCTCCCAGTCGATTGGTCCAGGGACTCGGGGCAGAGTCCTGGCTCTGGTGGCCCTCATCATGACAGCAGGGCTGAGCTACGTCTCCGTTAACTGTGAGACGCTGCAGACGGGCCTGCACCCGACCTCTTGGGGAATGAAGTGCGTGTAGAATGAGAGGCTGGAGGACACTGGTGTGAGCCCCAGCAGACCCTGCCGCGTGCCTTCTGCTCCCCCTGGAGTCGGCAGGGAGGCACCCTCTGGCTGGCATGAGGTGTAGTGGGTGCAGCCTCCAAGCTGAAAGAGAGAAGCTGCTTACTCTCTCTGCTCACAAGTGAACTCTAGTTCCTTCTCCTGACACCAATTGCTGTCTCTTTATAGAGGAATTCCCAACTACGAATTTAAACTTGGTAAGATCACGTTCATCAGAAACTCCCGTCCGCTGGTCAAAAAGGTTGAGGAGGTGAGTATTTCGTGAGTCATGACAGGTTTCCTTGGTGACTAGTGACAAGGGGATTCTTTCCCTCTCGAACGAGGGTCTCCTTCCGTGTGTTCTCCATCCTGGCCCTCCTCCCTGTGGGCTGGCCATCCTGCTGAAGCCATGTGGGCTCTGCCGGCTCCGTGGTGGGGACGGGCGAGGTCTCGGCTCCTTGCCCTCCTGTGCAGGTCCGGCCTGGGCTCTGTGTGTTGTGCACTGAAATGTTTAAGCTCCGGGTCGATCTTGCAGGGCAGCTGCTGTGATCGTCTGCATCTCACAGAAGGGAATGTGAGGGCACAGGGTTGGGGGGGTGTCAGGTTGCCCGGGCCTCGGGCAGAACTGACCACTGAGCAGCCACCCCAGCGCCTCCACACTCCAGACATGCCTCCCTTGGGAGGGGAGGTTTCACCTTACAGGCCCTTCTGGGTTCCGGGAACTGGCTCAGAAACCCCACACAGCCTGCTGTCTGGCTGCTGTGACTGTGCTGGTGGTTCGGGTTTGGGTTAGGTGGTTAGCCCCACTTCAGACCCCAGGCTCCTGGTTTCCTTCTCGAGGCTCGGTCCCTTAGGGACCAAGGAGGGTTCAGAGACCCACTCACAGCCCCTCCTGGCCTTAATGCTCCTCAAGTTGGCAGCATATTGAGAGATTTCTAGGCTGAGAGGAGCTTACACGGCCCCCCTGCCAGCCGTTTGCTTGCCCCAGCCCAGCTGCTGGCTAGGCCTGCCTGCCTCATGGGCATCCTCTGGCTCCTTCATCCCTGACCATCGGAAGGGTGGGGACACGGGTGTGTGCAAACATGTCCTGGCTGGGGTGTGTGATGGGGATGGCCGGCAGGTGCACTCCCGCTGCCTGTCCTGGGACACAGGTGACACACTCACGGGGGTCGTGGGGGAGCCCCCAAGGAGACCAAGACCCCTGACTGGGTCGCCGCAGCCCTGCTGGGGTAGGGGGCAGGGCCTGTGCTGAGGACTGAGCGCCTGTCCCTGGGCACTTGGCCCTGCCCCCAGGAGGAGGGCCGAGCGCCACGGTCCGGGATGGCCCTCAGCGCGGTGGTGATAGTCTGTCCCCCTGGCATCCGCCCTGCCCGGCTCCTGCGCACAGGCTGGGCTGGCTGCAGCTGGAGGATCTTTGCCAGTGGCGCCCAGGGAAGGTCCCAGCCCACTCCCCCAGAGTGAAGACTGCAGTTGGAAGGCTTCCCTTGCCAGCAGCCCAGTCCCAGCAGCTCAAAGACACCAAAGGGGCAGGAAGCACCAGGGAAGTAACTTCCCCAGACAGGGGCCCTCCAGACATCCAGCACAGTGAGTGGAAACAGCTCCAGGTTGGGGCAGAGGGAAGACCCTAAAGCTTCCAGGAGGTAGAGAGTCTGCCATGGGTCAGGAACTGCAGCTTAGCTGGACGTAAGCCAGGACACGGTGGAGCAGGGTCCTCAGACCTCTGTGCCTGGTTCCTGCAAATTCCTGTGTCGAAGCCCTCACCCATGAGCCTCAGAGTGTGATTTGTTTGGAGGCGCGCCTTCCGGAGGTGAAGCGGGATGAGGCTCCAGGTAGGCCCTGTTCTACGCCAAGGAGATGCGGACACCCTGGGGAAAGGCAGCCACCTGCCAGCCATGACCGGGGCCTCCGGGAAAGCCGGCCCCTGGCCCTCGGGGTCCGCGCCTTGCTGTGAGGAGCTGTGTCTGTGTTCAGGGCCAGCCTGTGGTGGTGAGTTCTGGTGGCCCCAGCAGTCTCACACCAGCCCCATCAGTGAGCCTTGAGAGGAGAGATGTTCTCAGTTGTTCAAGAGCTCCCTTAAAGGCCGCCTCTGTGGGCCTCCTCTCAGGAGGCTACTGTGACATACCACTGAAACGAGGGAATAGGGTAGAAACGAGAAAGCCTGCCACCCGGGAAGCAGGGCCTCCCCGCGGCTGTGTGCAGCCCTGGAGCATGGCCCACGCAGACAGGACAGCCCCGAGCGCCCTGGGGACAGGTTCCTCAAGCCCTGAAGTCGAAGGGGCCCACCTGCAGCTGATCTGTGCACACGAGAGAAGCCAGGCTCCGGTGTTGACCGCAGGATGGATGGAGGGCCTACAGGAGAGGAACGCTGCTTGGCTGGGCCTCGGCGTGCCATTGCGTGGTCACCACCACGAGAACCCTGCACGGGCCCCCAAGAAACACCAGCTGCCCTGGGTGGTGGTCAGTGCTGGCTGAGTGCCTGGGAGCCTGGGTCCTCTCCAGTGGCACTTTCTCCCCAACTAGCAGCAGAGCTCGGAGGCAGATGCTGTTGTCAGGGCTTCTGGAAAACAAGCAGTCTTTCTGCTGGGAGAAGAGCTTGGTAGACTGAGGGCTGCTGGGTCACCATTCTGTAAAGCTTAAAGAAGTGCACTCGCCTGCCAAGGAGCTGAGCCTCTAGGGAAAGTCAAAGCTGTGTGCAAAGACGCTGAGCTGCTCACCAAGGCAGCTTCAGTGCTGCAGAGCTGGAAGTAACAGTGCCCCGGGCTGGAATTTGTGAGAGGAGAGACTTGTGGCCTGAGATGGGGGAGTGTCTGTGGAGGCACACAGCAGGGACTGGAAGTGTGTTTTTGGGGTGGTTTTTCTTCTGGGGGCATATTTTGTATTTTCTATGTTGAAAGTGGGATACCTTTGCAAAACAATGTATATTCAACCTGAGAAAAAAGGCTGTGGTAGAGTAGTTATTCTGGTTTTGCTTTCAGTTCAGTAGGTGATAATTTACACTTCTATTTCAAAGATATTTCTTGTTAGGAATAAAGTGGGAGATGGTACTCAAGTCAACAGAATAAGGCATTTCTAGTAAACTTCCAAGGAGTTTCTGAAAATGGTGTTTTCTCTTCACAGGATGAAGCCGGAGGCAGATTCATTGCTTTCTCTGGAGAAGGACAGTCGTTGCGTAAAAAGGGAAGAAAGCCATAAGCTAGGACTGTTGATTGATTGGGAAATAAAATAATTGCAACATGCTGGCTTTTAGTTACTGGCTCTGAGGGGATGCTCCGTCACTTTGGGTTTGCTTAGAGTCACCTGGAACAGGGCAGCGGGACAGCGGCTGTGTGCTGGATTTGGGGGAGAGAAGGCCTCTGGGGCTCCTTGGGGGGCCTCTCCTCATGCCCACACCAACTGCTCAGCTGAAGTGGGGTGCCCTAATTCCTGCTGAAAATAGTGAAGGGGTTGGATTGCTCTAAGTTGTGCTGTTTTGTTTTTTTCTTCCATTTATCCTTTTCCCAGGTCATACTTAAGTTGTTGCCTTTGGGCTGGGAAAAAGGTGGTTTAAATAAATAGTGATCATCCCATTACGCTGGCTGCAGCTTAGGTATTTGAGGAAGGGTGTTTGTTTTTATTTTACTTGTTGATTTTTTTTTCCTCCTAAAAAACCGTGCCTCAGAAGGAAAACCTGATTTAGAAGCATTTCTACTTTTACTTTGATGTAATTTGGAAACAACTGGTTCTTTAGTCTGTTCTGTAAAAACAGCTTCGTGGTGAAGCACAAATGTAACTGTTAGAATAAATGAAAGCTGAAGATATGTTCTTCTCTGTACCCCCCACTCCCAGTTTTAAATGTATTAAATTTTCCAAAGTTCTGCTGACCTTTTTTTTTTTTACTAGTATTAATTTAGTTTCATGTCCCCACTTTATATAATAGCTCTTTTGACATGTTAATTCAATTATTTTAATCTCTTGTTCCTTGAGAATAATTTTCAATTATGAATTTCAAATAAAAACAGGCAGTGACCAAAACCTGAATTGCCTCTAAGCGTCTGATAGGTACCAGCATGGGCTGACATCTGGGCGGAGGAAGGCCTGCAGGAAAGTGTGTCTGCACTGAGGAGGGAACTCCTCTGGGGGCTTCGCTGACCTTGGGCCCAGCAGGGGTCCCCTTGTCCCTGCTCCAGGCAAAGAGGCCCATCTCAGGAGACTGTCCCCCGCGGGAGGGTGGCCCCAGGGTTCACCCATGAGTCCTCAGAGAAGGAGCATTAGAGTGCATCGTGATGACCAGGGTTGGGCCCTGTGACCCAAACCCACACCCAGGCAATGCAAGTGGTTTCGTTAAGTCTTGAGCAGGCTGTGACCTGCCTGACCCTCCAGGCGTCTCGGCTGGCTGGCAGATGTAGACGCCCTCTTTGGTGGGCAGCTTGGCCTGTGAACCACCACAGCAGGAAGCCTTGGTGAAACTGCACCTCTCGGCCCTGACTCACCCAGCGGGTACCTGGCGGTGGCTAGGCTGGGGGAGTTGGAGAACCACTGCGGCGGGGATCGCAAGGCAGTCCTGAGGCGCCATCAGCCTCCTTGCCGTCGCTGTCACTGCCTCCTGCGCGTCCTTCATGGACTTGGACGAGCCTTGTCCCCCCGCCTCAGCGCAGACTCGCCCCTAACGCCGCCTCCGGACGCCCACCCGCAGGGCCTGCCGTCTGCCCCGGCCGCACGGCCTCCGCGCCCCTCCGCCTCGCTTCCTGCCTGGACGCCCTCGGGAGTCACCCTGCCCTCGAGGGGACACGGGTGGGGCAGCCGCAGCCGCAGGCTTGACCGCGTGGCGCTGATGCTCAAAGTGTGCTGACCGATCTCAGCGACCTGACCCCTGAGGTGACGAAATGAAAGCCGCGGGAAGGACTGCCCCGCCCACACCGGCCTCGGCCCCGCCCACCTCGGGTTTCGGTCCACGCCCCCCGTCTGTTATTGGCTGCCAACCCGGATATCCCGTTCACTGGCGTGTCTCAAGGGACCGCTTCAGGAGGCGGGTCCAGCGGTTCCGGAACATGGCCGAAGGTGAAGGCTGGCGGGTAAGCCGGGTGGGCGCTGGGGATCCGGGGAGCCGAGTCCGCCGGTCGGAGTCGGCGGGCGGGCACCTGGTCCTCCGCTCACGCCCCCGTGCCCGCCCCCGCAGCCGCCGCGCCCGTGCGAGGCCTACCGCGCCGAGTGGGAGCTCTGCCGCAGCGCGGGGCACTTCCTGCGCCACTACTACGTCCACGGCGAGCGGCCGGCATGCGGGCAGTGGCGGCGCGACCTGGCCAGCTGCCGCGAGTGGGAGGAGCGCCGCAGCGCCGAAGCCCAGGTGAGGCCAGGTGACCCGACCGGGCCCGCCGAGCCCTGGAAGGCCGGGAACCAGAGGCGCTGGGCGCAGGGGGCGGGCCTTGAACAGGGGCTTCAGGTCCAGCCCTCCGCGTGTGCTTTGATTTGTATCCTTCAAAGATCAGTCTGGCAGTCAGGCTGGGAGAGGACGTGGTGAAGGCGCGGGAGACCAGTCTGGAGGGGCTCTTGGTCCATCCGTTCAGCAGACACTTAACCGCTTGGACGCTTTTGGACTTACAGGAGCGGTTAGAACACAACCTCTGCCTCCTGGCACCTACATCCTAGTCTGGAATACAGTGGTGCCCTGGAGCTGATGAGGGGGAAGCGTGGAGCGGAGCTGTGAGGGTGCAGCGCTCGTGGGGTGTGCCAACAGAACAGGCGAGTGTAGATGCCCAGTCCCTGAGCAGTGGGAGAGAGTTGGTGGGTCTATATAGCAAGAAATCAATATCCTTTATACATAGCTTGTAAAGATAGCTCTTACATATCAGTAAGAGAAATGGATTTCACAATGGAGAAGTGGACAAAAGGGAGAGAGAAGGGATTGACCCTGAAAGGACATCAAATGGCCTGATACACATTTAAAATGACAGTAAGTGGTTTCTGCCCAGCGAAACATCCACTGGGGTTTGAAGAGTCTGAGCACCTGGGCAATGCTGGTGGAATGTGGGGTGTTTTGATTATCTAAATATCAAATGCATGCCTTTTGATCTCAGAGTTTTACTCCTGGAATTTTATCCTAGGGAGTTAATTGGGTGACGGTTCAAAGTTCAAAATGTCCTGAAAGTGACCTGATGTCCAGTAGTAGACATTTGACCAGATAACGAATATCTTCCCCACCGCAGAGTACTACACAGCCATTTAGTAACCTACCCGCTTGTGGGAAGGTGCCCACGGTATGTCACGTAATGAGGAAAGCAGGAGGTACATCTGCCAGGAGGCAGTTATTCCTTCTTTAGGGAAACAGGTGCAGCTCTGAGATGCTGGCCCTGAGTGGAAGCTATGACCTTCACCTCGGGGCTGGAGGTCTGCGGGGCTTTCACGTTTGCTTTGCGTTTCTGATCACTCTTAACAGGCGGAGGAGGTAAAATTCTACATGTAGAGTGGCCAGCACAGCTCCTAGAAAACCCCAGGCCCCATCGGGGTTGTGACCTGCTGCCCCGAGTTTACTGGCGGGGGTGGCTTCTGCTGTCGGTCAGTCTGTGGTCTCTTCCCTGCCTCTGGCCAGTCTTTCAGGCTCACCTCTCCTCATGGCTAAGTCCCCAGCCTGTCTCAGCTGGTGAAGCTGATTAGGTCAACCGAAAGCCTCAGATCCTGGGGCCCAGGAGAAGTGCGCACCTATACGATAGATGTTCACGATAGCTTGAAGAGGAGCGATCTCGGTGTGTGCTGGGCTACACATATGGGTGGGTATGCGTGGGGCTGCCCGTGACCACGTCTCCTTTGCAGCGGTCCCTGTGTGAGAGTGAGCGGGCCAGAGTTCGGGCTGCACGGAAGCACGGCCTGGTGTGGGTGCCCAGGCAGAGCCCCCCAGAAGACTGGCACCTCCCTCTGCCCGAGGACAAGGACGGGTGACCGACCCAAACAGTCCAGAGGGCCCCTGGGAGCTTCTGCCTAGCGTGGGACATGGAGCCCTTGCCTCCAGCCTCGCCTGCCCCGCGGTCACCACCAGGCTTGGAGCCGGTCCACCCAGCACGTGGCATCCCTGCGGGCAGCCAGGCAGACCTGGGGACAGCGGCCCAGGAGAGGCTGTCCCGAGGGATGGGCTCCTCAGACGAACCCTCCAGGGGCAGCTCTGACCCGTGGGGACACTTGGAGGGGGGATGAGGCAGCCCCACCTGATCCTGCTCTGGTGACCACCACGGACTTTGGCCACGGTGCCCTCCTGCCACGGCCACTCACCGCTCCTTCCCTTGGAATTTCCCCCAGTTGTTTTTAGAAAACGTGGATTATGTCAAGACATTTCACAGGTTTGATTCCAAATAGAAACTGTAAATTGCATCCAGGGTTTATTGAAAGAGTTAGATGCTGGCAGTTAGAATTTTGTATGCTTACATTCTTGTAAATGCTTTAAAAATACATGTGTTTGAACCAAGGGGAACCCTCGTTCTTTGGAGGTCTCTTTCTTCTGCTGAAATAATGTAGTCTCTGGGGCCATGTGGCCGGGCTGCCGCTTGGTGCTATGGACCAGGCCTGCAGCGCCTCGGCTTCCCCCTGGGCCCTAGCCGGGGCACAGGTGTGGCTCTGCATCATGGAACCCATTTTTGGGGACAGAATAACCCACCCCTTCAGAAGGACGTTCATTATAGGGTCCCCACCATGTGCCCCAAGAGTCCTCTGTGATTGTGTATCTGTGAGCAGTGGGTGCGTGCACGGGACCCCCGGAGCAGAGGTGAGTATAAGGAAGGTGCAGGGTGTTCCCTCTGGCAACCAGGGCCTGTCAGCCGTGGCTGCAGCTCTGTCCACGGGCATTTCTGTGCGAGGAGAGGGAGGGATGGCTGGGCCCTCCCGGGTCTGAAACCCCAGTGGCGGGCTGTGTGTTGGAAACGGCGGCCACCCCCTGGTTCCCAGGATTCCTGCGGCGGGGCGCTGGCGCTGTCAGGAGCCCCACACCTGCTCGGATGCTGATCGTGCCTCCAGTGCAGAGGCACGTGCCTGTGTCCATTCGTGTCCACTCCTTGGGACCGCAAGCCTGAAACAGAGACGTGGCCTCCGTCCTGTTGAGTTCAGGGGACGGACATGAACGTTCAGGCGTCAGCTGTGAATAAATTGAAACAGGCAGCATCTTTCCAACCCTCGGGACAGAGCTCACGGTGACGAGCCGTTTGGGTGGTGACTTGGTGCAGCACCCGCCAAAGCCCACAAGGACATGATCTCAGGGATGCCGGCGGCCTCTGGGGCCAGGGTCAGAGCGCCATCCTGGGGAGCCTATGATAGGAGGACTTGTGGCGGGGCAGCGGGCGGGGAACTGGGACCCACTCAGGCAGCACCGTTGGCCTCTGGTGCAGGTGAGACTGGCCGTGCATGAGACGTGACCCTACGGAGCTGTGCTCGGCACCTCCCTACCGACCTCCAAAGAAGAGATTGAAACAAAACAGCTTGGCCATGACCTACTGACTTGATTGTCAAACCTCACCGAGGAAAGTTACAGGCTTGAAAAGCACCTGTGAGGGGTGCGGCGGTGGGGAAGGCTCTGAGTGTGGCCCTGTCTGAGGAGGCTGGAGGCTTGCAAGGCCAAGGAGGAGCCACAGGCTGATGAGGCCGGGGTGGGTAGCCAGGGTCCTCTAGGCCAGTACACAAGCTAAATGCTCACTCAGGTGAAACGTCCCCCAGAGTGCCTGCCCTGAGGTGGGCCTCTGCCTACACGGCCCCTCGGCCCCTCGCTGCTGGGCCGCATCATGCCCCCCACCCAGTTCCTTTGGTGGAGACCTCCCCCTGCTGCTCTGTGCGTGCTGAGTCACTTCAGTAGTGGCTGACTCTGTGACCCCAAGGACTGCAGCCCGCCAGGCTCCTCTGTCTATGGGATTCTCCAGGTAAGAGTGCTGGAGTGGGTTGCCATGCTCTCCTCCAGGGGATCTTCCTGACCCAGGGATCAAAACTGTATCTCCTGTGGCTCCCTGCATTGCAGGCCGGTTCTTTCCCGCTGAGCGACCAGGGGAAGCCCCAATCCCTGCTGCTGAGCATGATTGTATCTGGTCTTTAAAGGGGTGGTTAAGGGGAAATAGGATCGCTTGAGTGAGTCACTCAGTCGTACCTGACTCTTTGCGACCCCATAGACCATACAGCCAATGGAATTCTCCAGGCCAGAATAGGAGTGGGTAGCTGTTCCCTTCTCCAGAGGATCTTCCCAACCCAGGGATCGAACCCAGGTCTCCCACATTGCAGGCGGATTCTTTACCACCTGGGCCAGAGGGGAAGCCCAGGGTCGCGTGGGCAGGCCCTAATGCAATGACCGGCATCCTTATGAGAAATTAGGACACGGAACCACCACGCAGGGACACAAGAAGACGATGGCCATCTGCACGCCAAGGAGAGCAGCCTTGGAAGGCACCAGCCCTGCCCACACCTGGACCTGGGACGTCCAGCCCTGGAACTGAGAAATAAATGTCCGCCGTTTCAGCCCCTTGGTCTGTGGTGTCTGTTCCGGTGCCAACCTTACTCACACACCACCACCACCACCACCACTACCACCCCCCGCTCCCCGCCACCACCCCACACTGAGTGGCCTCAGCCAGGTTAGGTGTCAGCCATCCTGGAGGACACACCGCCTCACCAGTGGGTCCCTGTCCCTGACACTCTGCTTGGCACTCCTCTGGCACCCCAGCTTAAAACCAGAGCTGGCCCTGCCACCCCTTGGGGTGCATGTCCTTCCCCTCCACTCCTGTGGTCACTGCCTCTTGCCGGTGGCTTCTGCCCCTTCCTGGTCACTGGAGGGCAGCAGTTAGCCTGGGGGCCTTCCTATCCCCAGGCCAGGCAAGCAAGGGCAGCCCCCTCACCCCTGGCGGGTTAACTAACAGGACAAAGACACGGGGTTCGACATGTTTATTCACAGCAGGCCTGACCAGTCAGCAGCAGGCCGGAGCCCTGTGGGGTGGGCTCTGCCGGGCGGAGTGACTGAGGGCGGCCACCCGCAGCCCTACCTCTTGAGCTCCACCTGTGTGTACACCTTGGTGACGTCCTGGTACCTGCCTTCCGGGGGCTGGTAGTTGGCGACGGGCGGCGTGTAGTCTGGCCCGTACCTCTCGAAAGGAAACAAGCTGGGGTCCCGCTTGATGGCCTCGGCGTGGAGCTCCGGAGCCGTGAGCTCCAGCTCCTGCAGAGCTTCCCGCTGGGCCTCCAGCAGGGACGCGATGGCGGCCCTCTCCAGCTCATGCTCACGCTGCTTGTACAGCGACCACTTCTTGAGCAGCAGGGCTCTCCGCTCGCTCTCCTCAAAGGGGAGCTCCACTGGCGGCCGCTGCCTGGGAACACGCAGAGCGAAGGGCGTGACCTGGAGGCACAGGCCTCGCCAACCGACTGCAGGGACCCGAGTGTCCCCTCGGGAGATGCGTGTGGAACACAGGGACAAACCAAGGGGCGGGACGGTGGATGTGGCAACAAGGGAACCCACACCGGTCGCTTTACGTGGAGACAAGAAATAGCGATGCCCCAGCAGGCCGTGGTGAAAGCTGGCTTTGGAGAAAAGTCAAATGGTGGCGTGAAAACAGACACCAATACCCCAGGGAGTCGAGAGCCTGTTATCAGCCCTGCAGACCCCAAATGGCGAGGTACCCCTGACACAGCGTGGCACTGCTGTGTGAACGGGCTCTGACGACGCAGCGATCCCGGCCACCCCACTCCACAAACACCGGCTTTGGGCCTGTGTGTTCCGGAGCAGGAGGCTGAAGGTTTCCTGCCATTGGGAGGGACGGGGGGCTATGCTCCACATTCGAACCCGCTCAACCCCTGCCCAGAGTTTCACACCCACACCTGGCAGTTCAGGAGCAGCGCCCGGTGCTTCCTCCAGGAGAAGACTCAGCATGGGGCCAGGCCACCCTCGGTCTATGACCCTGCCCATGATAGGTGTGAAGCTCCCGTGACAGCACTTCCTGAAGGTAACAGAACTGCTTTGCCCCAATACCTCAATCCCAGAGGCCCTCACCTCGCTTGATTCAAGAACTTGACTGGGGTGATAAAATCCTCAATGGGAATCAGCTCCTGTGTCGCCTTCTCCAGTCGCCGGATCCTCTTTTTTAAGCGCTCCTTCGCCGCCTGGTCTTTCTTGGGGTCCACCTTCTTCTTCTTCCGCAGAGGCTCTGCTCTAAAGCACAAAGCGGACACTGAATGTTTTCCTCCGTGGTCTCGTGAGTGAGCGGGCAGAGACATGGCGCTAGGGGACGTGCCCACACACTGGAACTGTGCTCTGCACTAGGGAAGAACCGTGTGCGCCGGCCTCCTGGGACAGCCTCCAGTGAGGGTCCTCAGAAGAACTGGGCGGGCATGGTCAACCCAGGAAGGGGTGGAAAAATTCCAGGGGGTGTCGGGGCATAAATTAAAGAGAAGTGCTCATTTCTAGTGCAAGGGTTCAGGTAGGCCTTGAGATAAACTGAAATATGAAAATACCAAACTGATTAATTACATGCTCATCCCTCATATTTTTTATGTAATTTTTAAGCTGAGTACAGTTGTTTAACACTGTTGTGTTAATTTCTGCTGTACTGCAAAGTGATTATTTTATGCATACATACATCTTTTTTCCCATTCTTTTCCATCACATTATCTGAGAATACTGAATCTAATTCCCTGTGCTATACAGTTAAACCTTGCTGTTTATCCATTAAAAACTTGTTACTCACATTTTAAATACATGTGTGATTTATAAACATGAGTAACACTAAAAGAGACAGTATGATAAAAATGACTAGGAAGTTCCTGTTTATACCGTTTGACATGTTAACAAATTTCCTCATCCTCCAGCACCAACAAGTCTGGCTTACCCTGACACATCACTGTGCCAGTAAGTTACTATTAAGAACAATCGAATCCTCTGGCATCAAGACTGAGTCTCATCACGCCCGTACAAGGTGTCCAGGGGCCCAGGTGGAAACAAGGACCCTCCGGCCGACCCCCACCTCTCCAGGGAGTAAGAAACACAGACACTATCTGTGCTCTTTAAATCTTTTTTACTTACGAATCCCTTCAAAACGAATTAACTTTTCTTCAAACCATTCTGCATTTAATTTTTGACCTGGTTAGACAGAAACCGAACGTCGCGCACCCTCGCTCTCCGGGCGCGATCCCCCCAGGCCGGGCCGGCGGCCGGGTTACCTCATGGGCACGAGGCCCCAGAAGGACAGCAGGGAGGCCCGCCGCCGTGCGTCCCTCGTCTGCGTAGGCCGCGCCCCCAGGAGCCTGGAAGAGATCGGCCGCGCGTCACCGTCCGCGTCCCCGTGAGGTCGCTCGGGACCCCGGTGACTGCCTCTCAACCCGCGCCCGCTCTCCGCCCTCACCCGCTCGCGGGGCGCAGCGCGCGCCAAGCCGCCCCCAGCGCCGCGGCCGCCATGCCCCCGGGTCGCCGGTTGCCGCTTCCGGGCGCGCGCCCTCGGCCGTCCGACCCGCGCGGTGCGCCGTTCTCCGGTCCGGCCGCCGCGCAGCCTCGCGGCCGGGCGTTCCGGCTGCCGCCGCCGCCGCGCCTGGCCCCGCCCCCAACGCGGCCCCGCCCCGCGGCCGGCGCCTCGCACCTCGCTCCGCTCCGGGGCCTCCTTCCCGCGGGCGCCGCCCACGGGCCGCCCGGCCTGCGCCCCGCGAGGGCAGCGCCCTGCGCGGTGAGGCCGGCGGCGCCCGGGAGGCCGAAAGCCCTCGGGCCTTCGGCGAGCCGGGCGTGCGGTAAACGCCGCGGGTCGTCGGCCGGCGTCGGGGCCGGGCCTCGGCGCCGCACGTGGCCCTCGCGCGCGGGTGCTCAGTGAGAGCGCGCCGGGGGCGGCGGGAGCCCGCCAGTTAGCCCGCCGGGGCAGCGGCCGCCCCCCGCCCCAGGTGCCGCCCGCCCGCGCGCGCGCCCCCCGCCGGCCAACCCTCGTCCCCGTCGCCCGGGGCGGACCCAAAGCGGCGCCGCCCGCCCTGCCGGCCCCGGAGCCCCGCGGCCCGAGCACGCGGGGAGCGGTTTCCCGCCGGGGCCGTTTGGCAGGTGCGCGCCGTGACTTCCGGCGTTGCCCGGGAGCCGCCGGAGGAGGAGCGGCGCGGGGGATGCGGCTGTGGCAGCGGCGGCGGCGGCCGAGCGCTGGGGGCGGCTGTGGCGGCCGCGGCGGGGAGTGCGGGCCGGCGATGGCGCGGCGGCGCTGAGCGCGCGGGGCGGGCGGCGGCCGGAGGGCGGGCGGCGGCGGCGGCTCCATGGCCCGGGCGCGCTGAGAGACGCGGCTCTCGCCTCAGCCCGGCGGCGGCGGCCGAACAATGAAGCTCCTGAAGCCGACCTGGGTCAACCACAATGGTGAGTGCGCGCGGGGGCCGCGAGCCCCGGGCCGGGCCGGGGTCTGAGGCGCGGAGGAAGCCGCGGGCCGGTCTTCCCACCTCGCCCCGGCGCGGGGCGCCCGGGTCGCGGGGCCGGCGGGCGCGGACTCAGTCCTCACTCTGGGGCACCGGGCGCCGCACGTGCTCGCGCCCCCGCACGTGCGCGGAGCCGTCGGTCGCAGCCCAGCGGCGGAGGCGACCCCGGGTGCAGGTCGGCCCGGGCCAGCGTGTGACGGCTGGGCGCGGTGGCCCTTCGCTGGCGGCGTGTATGTGGAAGGGGCATGTCCTGCTGTACCCGAGGCTGGATCCGCTGACTGTGTCTCCGAGTGGAGCCCCGTGACTCCGGGCTGAGGCCCCCTAGCCCGCGGGACCTCGTTCGCACCGAGTTAGAGCGTCAGGGCCCCTCGGGTGGGGCCCGCGGGGCGCAGGTCTGTGCTCGGAGAGCGCCCGCCGGGGCCCCACGGCGCACCCAGAGCGGACTGGTCAGTGCCCTGGGTGAGAAGAGACTGGTGCAGAGACGCGTGCGGCGACTGGCAGGGCTGGCCTAGTTCTACCTGGAGCGCACACCTGCTGCAGGATTTGGCCTTGGCTCCCTGGGGACGGGAGCGGAGCCAGCCGCCACCCTCCACGGGCAGTGCGGGAGGGCCTACTCTCCAGCCCAGGGTCCCCGCCGCCGCCGCCGGCTGTCTGTCTGCTGATAGATAGGCAGTCACCCTGGTTCTGTTCTGTTCCTCATTTCTACTCAGCCGGGCGCCTAGAGGGAGCTGCAGTGTTCTTTTAGAGCTTGTCGGGCAGGTACTTTCACCTTCTCTAAGCCAGTAGCTTTTTAGTTCTGAACTTGGATCTTAGGATGCTTTCTTCTGCGGCAGCCGAGCTGAACGCCAGTCTGTTCTTTGGCTTGGAAGCGCACTCCCTTTCCATTTTCTTGCAGGGTATCACGTCTCCTGTCATTACCCAGGGTCCGGGTGAGGTCCCCCTTTGCTCCTGAGTTACTCCACTAGACCCTTTCCAGCCCCAGGGTGGGTGCCTGTGTGTTCCCAGCGCGGGGACGGCCTGGCTCACTCCGCATCCCCTGCCACACTCAGCTGTGCCTTCTGTACAGAGGGTCTGATGTCGCTGGCTGAGCAGGTGAGAGCTGAGGGGGGCCGTAGCTGACAAACTCAGCTGACGGTGCGTGAAAGCAAAAGCAGTGAACTCTGGTTTCATTTTTCCTGCTTTTCTCTCCAAGCGGATTTCCTGAGGTGTAGGGTGAGGTCTCCCCCAGCAGAACTGGGCAGATGTTCAGTAATTATAAATCGTGCATGTGAGTCAGGAAAGGAAAAGTTAGTTGCTGTGCAAGTGAAGCCTGAAAGAATTTTCACTTTGACACACTGCTCGATCAGGTTGTGTGTGTGGTACACCCTCCCCCTGTCTTCCTCCCGCTGTATAATTTCTCCCCTCGTGATGAACTCCTTTGTAGGACATGAGTTTTATGCTGCATAAGCACAAGCAGGTCTGGATGCTTAAGCGATCATTTAGGCGCAGATGGGAAAGAGTCTGAGCTGGGCGGGGTGGGCCGGACTGTGGGCCGGACTGTGGGCCGGGGCTCCTTCCTGTGGCCTCTCCACCGGCCTTGAGGACAGGGAGCCTCACGGTGTCTGCCCTGCCTGCTTCGTGGTGCGATTGGGGTGTTTGCTTGGGGAGGAAGATAGAGGACTCCCCAGAGTCTGAAGTGCATTAGAAACCTAGGAGATAATGATTAAAGAAATTGAGACTCTTTTAGACCTGTTCTTTGTCAAATCTCCTTTCTTTTAAAGTCTCCTGAAATCAGCCCCAGTCTGATGGAGCGTTCAGACAGACCGTTGTTGGTAAATGACGGCTCTTCGGAAGCGCAGGCTGACTGATGGTCTGGACCACGCCTGCGCTGTCCTGTAAAGACTGATGAATGGCGGGAGCTGCTCGGAACCCCAGTGGTGGGTGGTGGCCAGCAAAGCCACCCTTACTTCAGTTTAACAAACCAAAGAGATCGAGGTGCTTTGGAGAGCACGTCACTGTGCTTTCTGGTTTCCTGACTCTGCACTCCATTTCCTCACTGATTATATAGTTTGAACATACTTCTGGGGTCTCAGAGCCCAAAGAGGGAAGGAGCAGAGAGCCCTGCATTTTCTGTGGGGGCAGGATCCGTTGGATGGGGTGAGTGGGCAAGTGTCTGTCGAGGGCAGGTGTGCTCTCCCCTCTTCTTTTCCGGGACGAGTGCTGAGGCCTTGCCTCTAGGGGAGGGTTTCTCCATCTCAGCACTGCTGACACCTTGGGGCACGTGATTGCATGGAGACCAGCCTGTGTGTTGTAAGGTGTTAGTGGCAGCCCTGGCTTCTGCCCTCCGGTGCCAGTAGCACCTTCACACAGTGACACACAGACATCATCCAGTTGTGACGATAGAACCAGTCTCCAGACATAGCCGGTGCTCCCTGTTGGCCAGGTCAGAACCCCCAGTCAGGAACCACTGTGCTAAGGAGGTGAGCTAAATCTTGAAGTCATGTCACAGAAATGAGCTTTGAACATGGGGTCAGATCGGGTTCAAGACATCATCATTTATTAACTGAATTCTTGGGCTTTTGACTCCACCTTCTGGACCTTGGTGAGATCCATCCCTGCCGTTTGATCCTGTGCCCAGACTTGGAAGGCTGTCTTCAGCTAAGGCGTGTTACAGGAGTTCGTGAGGTTTGTCATGTATGTAGAGGTTACATACAGGAGACTGTTCACACACGTGCATGCACGTGGTTTATTCTGTGTTCTTGGAAACAGTATTCCTTTGTTGTTTTGCAGTCTCTCAGTCATGTCCGACTCTCTGTGACCCCATGGACTACAGCACGCCAGGCTTCCCTGTTCTTCACCATCTCCCAGAGCTTGCCCAAACTCACGAACATTGAGTTGTGATGCCATGCAACCTTCTCGTCCACTGTCATCCCCTTGTCCTCCTGCCTTCAGTCTTTCCCAGCATCAGGGTCTTTTCCAGTGAGTTGGCTCTTAGCATCTGGTGGCTGAAGTATTTTATTCTAGGCCTGGCCAAGATAAGGTTTGCCTCTAGTTAGGTTATCACTGTATGTTGGTTCGAAAGTGAGAGCAGTTACATTTTGATTGTAGGAAAATGTAGTCTGTATGTTGAGAAAACTTCACTGGAGATTCATGGTTCTTCCCCTCCCTGAGCCTTTGTCCTCTTGTGGAGTTCATGCACAGCTCTTGAGTGAAGCCCATTCCAACCAGAATGGGCAGGACTGAAGGAACTGCATCCTGCTTTGGTTTCTGGCTCACACTTTGATGGCAGTGTTATAAAAAGGTGTCTGGCAAATTTTCAACAACAGGGTAGTTTGTCAGTCGTCCTGTTGCCTTGTGGTGTGTGTTTTTCTCCTGTCTGCGACCCCTTCTCATCCCGCAAAGGATTTAAGGCCTTTTACCACCATTTAAGAATGTCAGCTTGAAGGGGAGATGCAGGGAAGGAGGATGGTACCACAGCTGCCTGGGTGAGGAAAGGCCCGCACGGCTGCTCTGAAGGCAGGCCGGGAGGTGGTAACGTTTCGTGACCGCTGTGGTCGTTCCGTAACCTGTGCCGTTGGCCTGGATCAGACTAGTCCAACAGGCTGGTGTCTGGGGACGTTCTGGGTTTCTGCTGCTGGCGGGGATGGAGCTCCAGGAGCTGGTGGGTAGGGGTGCGCTGTGGTCTTGCCAAGGTCAGCCCGCAGCAGTTAGCTGGCCGATGCCCATGCTCGGGGGTCACTCTGGGTGAGCGTGTCTCTTGGTGGTGCTGCTGGGGACTTGCTCACCCGTCCCGCTCAGCTGTGAGCTGCTTGAGGACCGGGGGTTTGCGTTTTGGTTTGGAGTCAGGTGGCCTCCTCTTGAGGCTCCGCCGCTTGCCAGCCGTGCGTTCCAGAAGGCTCTTGGCATCTCTCACTTGGTCTGTTGAGTGAAGCAGGTAACACCTGCCTCGCCTGCCCCCAGCTCACCTGTTAAGGCTCCGCAACTGTATGCTCTTCACACACGCACGCCAGCTCACGCCGGGGAACAGTAGGTGGATTTTGAAAA